TATTTATGTATATGTGAAAAAGAGATGAAATATTTATCACACACATATATTTAGAATCAAAATATATTTTATTTTCATCAAAAATAAATTGTATATATATTTTTTTATTGCACTTATTATTATTAATTTTCATATTCTAGTATTATTAATCTGCCAAATTATGCTGGATTTATCTTTGTATGAAATTACATCGAAAAGAAAAGTACTTGTTTTAATTCAATATTTTAAAATATTTAATTATTCTCTCAATCAAATATTATTATCCTAATTTCTTTACAGAATGAAATATTGTTAACTAACATTATTCTTTAGGAAAATATGTAGTAAATGATATTGCTGTGAATTGCGGATCGTCAATCTATGATTTGACTGGTGTAAGTTTTGTGATTAAATAGATACATTAAAACTAAATAATTCAAATTTAAATAATTAAAAAATTTAACGATAAATTTCATCGTGAATTATTTAAATTAATAAATAAAAAATACATTCATTTTTGTTATAGATTATTATTGGAAACTAATAATATATTAGTAACAGTTATTAACTCTTTTTAACAATATAATAATGGAACTATTAACATTTATTGATATCCAGATAATGATCTAAAGAACTTTAGACACAAAACTATTATATTATAAACATTAACTATTATATTCTCTATTATTAAATATTCTCTATTTGATTGTTGTTTTAACTAGTCATTGCACTTATTGTCGAAGTAATACCCTATAACGAATCACTTCTGAAAAAATATGAATTAATAAAATTTAAATTATAACTATTTAAAAAATTTAAAAGATTTCTGTGCTACTCTATTTTCTAGGATTCTAAATTTTTGATCACTGAAATTTCTTGAAATGTCTCGATTTATTTATAAATTATAACATAAACTTGCTACACTATAGTGTAGCAAGTAAAAATAAAAATATAAAAATATTAGATATCGGCAATGTCGAGCTAAATTTAAATTCCACAAAAAGAAGTCTTAACCTTTAACCCATTTATAATAAAAATAGAAATAAAATTAAGATGCGATTAATCTTCCTACCAGTTGTCTGACATTGATTATTTATTTTATACAAAATGATCGATTCGCGATATATCGCGTTGTGCGAGCCGCGTGTAAAAGTTAGAAGAGACCGTCGACGAAATCAGCGATCTCACGATCGGTCTTTCTGCGACCTGTTTCAGAATTCAGGAGGGAGCATTGGCGCGTCAATTACGATCGACCATTCACGTGTTACAAGTGCGGCAAACGTTATACTTGGACGGATTCCCTGACAAGGCATCTACGCGAGGGTTGCGGCGTGTTGCCGAAACATAATTGTACGCTTTGCGGCAGAAAATTCCGGCGCAAGGATTATCTTTTACGCCATGAGAACAATGTTCATAAATAGAGGAATTAGTTTTTTGTCTGAGATGGAATACGTGATCGAGAAGAATTCTAAATTATTTTGAGAATGCGATTCCTACACCTGAACGATACAAATTGCTCACAAAAAATATTTTGTTATTTATATTATTTCATTACTCGAGTACAAGTGTGATTATTTAAAAGATAAGAATCATCAGAAAACGACAGGTTTTTATAATGAAATTTTTATTTCTTTATTTTTTTATTTCTTTATTTCTCGATGATTATTTATATTGTGTGGGTGAAAGATTTAAGATCGCATTGTTCGCGTTATTAAACGACTATTTTTAAATAATTATATTTTTTTATCAGATGTTATTTTATTTTAAAAATATATAAAATAATCAAATTATTGCAGGAAATAAGAAGTCAAACTAGTGTAATTTAGTTCCTTGAAAATGATGATTATTATTATATATACAATGTTCCTAAAATGGTCTCTTTAAGAAAGGTGATCATAAACATTGTGGAAAGAACACATATTTAATAAGATGAATGATTTATAATAGTAATTTTGTTTGTATTTCAATATTATGCGCAAAAAATTATTGATAAAATTGCAAGATAATATTTCCAAAAATTCAATGATACATTTATGTTTTAACAATTTCTCTTAATGATATTTATCTTATTAAATATGCATATGTTTTATAAAGTTATCGGATTTACATAATATATTATTTTAACTATGGATTTTATTTAAAGAAATATTTTTAGAGAGATATTTATATATGTTGTTTATTTGAGAGAAAATAAAGGACAATCTTATATACACATTTAAAGTAAGAAAATATAGAATTTTTTTATCGAAACACTGACTAAGCTGTGAAAAATTTGCTTATTTAGAACAATAAAAATAATTTGAAAAGCGATAGATTATATTAATGTGTAATCATTTCTATGGATGCACGAATTATTCTTTTCGCGCGTATACTTAAATATAAAGACATTAAGCTACATGAATATAAAATTATAGCTTTTTATCATCGATGAACAACGGCACATATTGTAGAATTATAATTGTATACCAGCCACAGTCTTTTGTACCTGTGTATCATTTATCATTTTTAAAGTAACACCGAAGGAGCGTGTATTACATTAGGAAAATGTATGTAGTAAAAATTATATCTATAAGAATGTTGTATAGTGAATGTAAGAATGATATAAGAATTATAAAAAGACTTGAAAAATTTTGCAGGGGAAAAAAATTTAAACACCGATAAAGGACGTAGATTGATGCGTTTACAATATGAAGTGATATATAATGGAAAATAAATGCGAAAGTGTAAAGAAATATGTATGTGTTATATTAAAAAAAAAGCAATATTGTATCATAAATTTTAACGATTACTTTCACGTTTACTTAATAATAATTTGTGATTATTATTGTAAATGTGTCAATGGCAATGAATTATTATATAAGAGAATATGTAGAATTGTATAAAAAAATAGAACGATTTTCTAAATGATGGAATCTAGCATTAAAGTAAAAAATATAGCATTGATACATTTTCTGATCTGCATTTTTTGTTAATAACATTGCTGTTCCTATAAGTTAATAAAAATTTATATTTTTACAACCGTAATCTTGTTATATTTTTTTGTTATATATTTATGAGAAACACATTTATGAAGGATATATTTAAAATACTTTTTTTCAAATAAAGCTTTAAAAAGTTTGAAAGAATGGTGTATTGAATATTGAAATTGTGATATAATAATATGGTATCCGTATTATATATATTAACAAGATGTAATAATAATTATATAGAATAACGAATTAAAAAAGAACAAAAAACGTTTAATTAACAATTTAGTTAATTAACATAACTAAATTGAAAGCAACAACATAAGATAGACATAGTTTATTTTATGTGAATGGATCTGCAAATGTATCATGATGTCGTGTTCGAATGCATTAATATATCATGTTGTTGTTTTTTTTCCAGGTTCGACACAATACAATGCGTCAGACTATTATAAAAGACTGGGCAGACACTTTTGCTCGTCATGTGGAAAAGAGTATAGATGGATGCAGTCATTGATCAGACACGAACGAGAGGAATGCGGAAAGGATCCGCAGTACAGTTGCCCCATTTGCAATATGAAGATTCGACACAAGTGGATGCTGAAGAAGCACCTGATCAAATTTCATCGCATGACCATTTCGAACGGCGACAACATTTAAAACGATTAATGATGACAATCGAGCACACAATATTATATCTGACCGAAAATTCTTTTATTACACATCTCGTTTTTCTTTTCTTTTTGTAGAAAAATATAGCTTTTTAAATATTTTTAAAAATTGAAATAATGAAAAATATGTAGGACAGGAATAATTATTCAAGCAAACGTCATCCTTTTCAGATTTCCACACTTCGACTTCTCTGTTATTATCGATATATCAAGTCTTTTAATCTACAATATTTAACAACTTTGATTAAAAATAATTTTCGAATTTTTAATTAATTTGTATTAGCAATCCCATATATGCGTAATAGACGCTGTCATATTCGGAGGAAAGATATCTTTTATTTTAGGTTTATTAAAGAATATAATTTTAATTTTTTAATTTAATTTTTTATTTTAACGAAGGAATTACCTTTTTCCGAATTTTAATGAAAAAAAGAGAATATGGCAGTATTCTATCTTTTTCTGTGATAATGAGCATTTGAGAAAGGATCTTAAAAATTACTTCAATGTTATATTTGTTCAGAAATTAATTATTAATTGTGTTATATTTTTCATTGTAAAACAATTCATGTGCACTTTAATAATTATTATCAGTGATAATTTTATTACTTAAAACACATTTGCTTTACAATTGATATATAAATAAGAAAATATTTAGAAAAATACTGATTATTTAAATAAAAATTATAAACATATAAAATATGTCCATTATTTTTCTCCTACATATATATATATATATATATATATATATATATATATATACAGATATACGAATATGCGGATTTACGGAATATATAATGCGAATATATGTATAGAGAATAACAAAAGAAATACATGAGAATCACTGATTAAGCTAATTTACTATGCAAACTTTCAGCGAAAAAATGAAAATTCTATTTCAATTTTAAGTTTATTCTTACAGAAAACTTTGAAAGAGATTTAACTGTGTGACTTGACATAAACAGTGAAGTATATTTCATGACAAATCTAAAACGAAATAATTTCTTTAGAAAAAGTGAGCTAAATTTCGACGCCACAACGAAGAATTAAAAAGAAATGTAAACCTGACAATGAGTCGTGATTATTATAATTCGCTGATCCTCTAATCTGTTCGTATTTAATTATGTATATAATTTTTACCGTAATGTTAAAATTTATTAAAGTTACTATTTGTTTTTAGATTTAAAGATGATGCGATATTAATTTTATATTTCATTGTCAGATTAACTAATACGTGTGTAAAATATTTCTTATTTTTATATATATATATATATATATATATATATTCTGTTTTTTATAATAATATAAATATAAATCTACTGATATTTGGAGTTGGAGACCTCGATTGTGAAAACATGTACTGATAGTATTCTTTTTTTCAGGTTACATGAAGCCCCATAGGCCCCAAGATTACCACAGACGGTACCGCGGCAAATACACATGTGACGCATGCGGTAAGGAATACACGTGGAAACCATCTCTAACGAGGCACAAACGCGAGGAATGCGGTAAGGAACCGCAGTACACGTGTCCAGTGTGCAACGTGAAGATTCGTCGCAGTGGCCAACTCAAGCAACATTTGCTTTACGTTCATAACTGGATGAACAACCAATGAATATATAAAAATTGTAAATAATAAAATGAAAGAAACTATACGTCACGTGTCCTTTATATCCTTCATTTCTATCCACTCTACTTGAATATCAAAGTTGATCGAGTCGTGATTATTGTATAATTCGCTGATTCTCCAATAATCTGTTCGTGTTTAATTATATATGTATATAATTTTTATTATAAACGGTAATGACTCGATTAATATTAATATTTATTTTTAGATTTAAAGATGACGCGATATTAATTTTGTATTTCAGATTACGTGTGCGAAATTCTCTATAAAATATTCGTTGTTTGTTATTTTTATTTATTATATATATACTTTGTTCTTTATAATATAAATGCGAAGAAAAATAGAGAAACGATGGAAAAAGTGAGATGTAAAAAGACTAATACGTCGCATGTTTCATCGAAAGAAATAACTCTTGTAAATCTATTTTATGTTCTCCTCTTTGAGAATATATAATTTTAATACCCTTAGAATTACCTTATATTTTAAGCTTGCCCTTAGAAATGATCTTTGAAGAAACTCCATTAAGAAATTTATGTCAAAATTTATTTATTTACGATGACGAATCTAATCTTTTCTTCAGAAAGTGAAGCCAGCTCTGTTAATAACAAACTTCGACCATGACGAAAAATAAAAAATGAATATATAAAAATTGTAAATAATAAAATGAAAGAAACTACGTCACGTGTTCTTTATATCCTTCATTTCTAACCACTCTACTTGAATATAAAAAAAGTTCATCGAGTCGTGATTATTGTAATTCGCTGATTTTCCAATAATCTGTTCGTGTTTAATTATATATGTATATAATTTTTATTAATATGAATCTAACGAATGCGATACACGTGCTGATAACGTATACTTTCTTTTCAGATTACGGCGAACGCAATAAGTTTAGTGGCAAACAGCATCGTGGCAAATACATCTGCAACATATGCGGTAGAGCATATTACTGGAAACGGTCTCTCAAGAGGCACAAACGCGCGGAGTGCAATAGGGAGCAACGATTCATATGTTCCTTTTGCGGCAAGAGATTCACACACAAGCATCATCTGAAATACCATCAACAACACATTCACAATCTCTGAAAAGGAAAATCAATTTTCCAAAACCTATTAACAACTCTAATAATATAGCAAATTTCAATGCGACTAATACGGAATACGAAGCTTCACATATAATTTGAGACATAATGGTTCACTCGGATTTGTGTTCCGAATGAACAAATAAAATATGGAAATAAAACTGAGTAGCAAAAAATTGATACTATGTGTTTTACTCTTCATTTCTATTCACCATTCGAATCTCAAGTTGAGATTGAATGATTGTTGAGTGATTATTTGTATGTATTCCAAAAATAATGGACGAATTCAAATTTATTAAAATATTAAATGTTTCGTGTTTCGAAAAAGGTATGCGAGAAATTAAAATTTTCTTACATATTATATACGTCCATTATTTTTGTCTTCTACAAAAACATAAGAAACAGTATAATGCGAAGATGGAGAACAGAAAATGAAATGCGAGAAAGTTATTCGTTCGTTCATCGAAGGAGTCGAATTCTTGTGTGAACTTATTCTATATTTTGATTTTAGCTTTTTTTTTTTTTTTTTTTAGAAAAAAAAGATAAAATTCAATTAGCTTATGATAGCAAAATTCATTCAAGTTGAATAAGGAATTTGATGATATAAATCTCTTTTGAGAGAATATAGTATCGCACTAATAAATTTCGATATCACACACACATGACAGAGAATGAAAAAAGAATGTAATTCTGATGAGAAATAGAGGTTGTAGTAGATTATAAGAGCCCACACTGATAGTGTCTTTCCTTTTCAGGTCGCGGCAAGAAGAAACCACAAGTTCATCAAAGACGCAAATATATTTGTGACGCATGCAAGAAAGTATATACATGGAGGTGTTCTCTGAGGAGACATATACGCGAGGAATGCGGTATAGAGCGACAATTCACATGCGCTCCTTGCGACAAGAGATTCAAGCACAAGCATCATTTAAAGGAGCATCGTATGACACAACTTCATAAACAAACCGTGAAAAGAAAATCAAATTCCTTATTGAGACGTCGTGCTACTAATTAACTTTGCGAATCTATATATACGTATCATGATATGCAAAATAAAAGTTAACAATAATCAATTCGATGACAGATGTAGAAACACGAAAAAGATGTAGAAACACACATATGTGTGCGAAATGATACTATATATTTTAATTTTTTTAAAATTCCGTTCAACATTTAAAATCCAAATTGTTGAGTTGTGATTGTTATAGTTTGTTCGTTTTTATTAATCTATTAGTCTTCGTTTATTTTAAATCAAGTTTGTTCTAAAAATGAATGAATTTAATGTATTAGAGTATTAAATATTTTGTGTTTCAAAAGAATTGTGTGGGAAATGGATTTCTTGTATCTTATTATGACATGTTGTCGTTGTCGAGAAAATTGGTTAATCATATTTAATGTTCGTGTATACTATTCAAATATGTTTTTAATGTAATTATTATTAGAAATCAATTATTTTGGTGAATAAGTACGAGTGAATTATTGGCAAAATATTAAACATAATTTCTTAGTTAATTCCAAATAGTTATAGTTTCGTGATCAATTTAAAAAAATTTTTTAAGTAAAATAATTAATCAAGTTTAAATTAATCTTTCTTAATCTTTGAAAAAAAACATGTTCTCGGTGAGACTTAAAATATTATACGATGTACTTGTCTGAAAAAGCGCAATTTGTTAAGATAAATAATTAGTTATACTATTAAATATTTTAGGCAGTTTTGAAACGTCTGAAACCTCTAATAAACAATCATTTCTGTGCCGTGGTTGCCAAAGAATTTTCTTATGGAAGGGACATCTGGACCAACATCAGCAAGTAAAAAAATGTGGAATCGAAAAATTGAATAAGTGCCGACACTGCAATCAAAAATTCAAGTGGAAGATTAACCTCAAAAAACATATCAATGATGTTCATTCGTAATTGCTTAAAACAAAAGCTAATTCGTCAATATAAAATTTAAATATATTTATTAAATCTTAATTAAATCCCTTACTATCAAAATATTTTAAATTCTTAACATTATTATTATATGTATCTTAAGAAATCTACATAATTATAATTAATATTATTAATATAATATATAATTTATAATGAATACTAGTGACTGTAATTAATAATTTGGAATGTATTAATATAAAAATATATATTATAATTAATTATATTATATTATATTGTATATACAATATACATATGTTATAATAATCTTAAGAATTATTTTGTTTAATATTTTGTTAGCGCTATATGACTCTCTGGAAAACAGAGTACAAGATATACTTATTATTATAGATGAGAACGTGATACTTGAGAACGTTTATGTAAAAAATAAAATAATGGCATATTATCACAATTATTAAAGAATCCACACACACGTACTAAAATATTGTTACTTTTGATATATTAGAAAAGAAAACTATAACTATATTTTTAATAATAATAAAAAATTATTTTTTTGAATAAATATAATTGCAGCAAAAAATTGTATAAAGATTATATATGAGTTATTTTATTTTATAAAAATGTAGCAGTATTATAATACAACCAAAATTTATTTATATTCTTAAAAACATAAGTTATTTTTGAAGCACAAATTTTATGATAAAAATTTAAAATTTGGAAGATTATTTTTTCGTTATTAATTTGTGTGTATGTGTATATATATGTATTTATATATGTATTTATATGTATACGCATAACAATTATACATATATACATATATGTATTATATATACATTATATAGATTGTATGTAATGTATTGTATATTTCTCTGTATGTATATATATATATATATATACATATAGGTACATATAACAAGTTTGAATATTTTCTAAACATAAACTTTTAAAATGAGTTTTCTTGTATTAAACATTTCATAAAAACTTCAAAAATACTTATTCTATGTTTTTAAATGTTATATAAAGAATTACTTTTTTTCTCGATTTTTTTATGACTGGCGATATTTTTTTATAGTGCAAAATATACTCATAATTACAAAAATTTTATATTTATTTGTATGAAATAATATTCAAAATTAAGAATATTTCACGTACAACATATATATTTATGTGTGTAAAATATTAACGTGATATTGAACCATTTAGTCTGACTTTGTTGTAACACAACAATCATAAATTTGAATAAAATTTTGATGAATATTTACTGATAATTTCACTCTACATATTTGTTTGTAATTAACATCTCACTATTATCTATATTACACAGGAATTAAAAATTAATATTTAAAATATCGTTAATTAATATTTTTCTTGTATTTTTCTTTTCTACACTTAATTTTATATAATAATCAAAATAAAAGTCATGCTTTGCTAGAAAAGCAGATATATACACATATCATCGAACTACGCGTATTCCGATATATATACATATATATATTTTTGAATAATATTGACTGTTATATATTGTTGAATGTATTAACACAAATCAATTAATAATTTATAAAATTTCGCCGAAAATTAAATAACCATTAAAAAAATAATGTATCCATATATAAATTGCGAATTTTAAGATAGTACTGATAGCGATAGTATAGAAAAGTATGATTATATATATATTGTACATGTGACTCGATGGCATACTGATATTCGCAGCAATCAACTTTTATTTCATTTATTATATGAAAAAACGAGAGAAAAATATTTAAATATTATAAATAATATTTCTGTTAACAATTTTTTAATTTTTTATGTCCATATCAATACCGAGACTATTATTATGAAATTTTCTTATGCATATATGTATATAACTGAATGCTTAATGCCGATATCATGCCGAAAATTATATATCGTACTTGCTGTTCAGTATCAATATATTAATAAAGATTTTCAATAATACGATTTTATAAAAATAAAGGTAAATAGAATACAGAATCGCCGCGCATGAGCGCGCGAAATTACTCAGATTAATCTTTCATTTATGACAAATTGCGGTTGATTTTGAGGAGAAGATCGAGATTAGAAATGTTGCCAGACTACACAGAAATCTAGAGATCTAATTTTCTCAGATGACGGATTTTCTAGCATGCACGCCATCGACGCTGAAATCCACGGTTAGCCCGATATCAATGAAAACAAGATTGTTGCATATATGTTTCAGGCCTACAGATGTTGCGCTCGATATCCTTATACCCCTGCAACACATGTGGCAAGACGTACAAATGGAGAGAATCATTAAGTCTACATAAACGAATGGAGTGCGGTATTGAACCACGTTTCGCCTGCAGCGTTTGCGGCAGAAAATTTAAACACAAACATCATCTCATGAAACATCATAAAGCGATTCATAAATATGTTTAATGAAAAACAAAGCGGATCAATGTTTTTTTTATATTTACAGACGATGAGGCAGACCTCATGTACAAAGAGATTAATTTAATACATATATAAATAGAAATAAAAGCACTGAGAAATGACATTCCAATAATCTATCACATCTGAAGAGAAATTATAATCCCATTTTCCCGAATCCCTATTTCTGAATTTAATTTTGATTCAAAATTGATGTGCTGCATTGGCTACATAAAATAATTTAATAAAATAAACATTATCGTTCAATTCAATAAAACTATTGGACTTAACTGATTAAGTACAAATGATAAAGTAAAATTTTCTTAATTTATTTTGTTGTAAATAATGTTGCACGGATTTCACGTTTCCTATATGCATGATACATTCATATGATTTTATCTTTCAGATGAAATGGGTCTAATAACAGTGTTTTTCAGTTTTTGTGGCCGGGCTTGCAACATAAGAACTCGGAAATCATTGTATACTCATCTGCATGTGGCAGAGTTTAAATATGCGTTTTACAGCAAAAGATTCATGTACAAATATTATTTCAACTAACACATACAGGATGTTCCATAGAAAAATGCTGAAACTAATCAGCTGTCATATTTAAATGCATGCAGTTATTGAGAAAACAAAAATTATGTTGAAAAAAAAATGCAGTTTTTAATAGATATAAAATGTTCGTATACCAGTTTATTTTGTTGATAAAAAATAATAAAAAAAGTGCTAATAATCGCATAAACTCACATAAACTAATGATAAATATTTTCGACGGTGCCAGATTTAATGGCAAACTCATTAAAAGGATTGTCAATGACATTAAAAATAACATGATAGAAAAAGTTTTCGTAAAAGAATAGAATTTTCTACAATAAATTCAAATAGTGCACTCTTTAAAAATATTTATCATTAGTTGTTTATGTGATTATTAGCACTTTTTTTCAATATTTTTTATCAATAAAATAATAAGCTGGTGTACAAACATTTTATTTATATTTATTATAAATTGCACATTTTCCTTTTTTCAACACAATTTTTGTTTTCTCAATAACTGCATGCATTAAAAAATGACAGCTAATTTTCAGCATTTTTCTATGCGAAATTCTGTTGTATGATACATTTGTACATAAAATCATAAAATTTACATAATATTCTTCGATAATTAAAAAATCTAATTTATTTAATTAATTTTTAATTAATCTTTAATTAATTTCTTGCATGTGTATGTTTGAGTGTGACAGAATACAGCATGAATAATGGCGAAATTAAAACAATAATTGAACGTGCGGAGGAGGGGGGGTATACCGCGTAACTAATTCCTAGATTAATATATTAATAACAATTTCTTAATACTTTATTTGCCCTTTTTATGTTATTATATGATAAATTGAAAAAAGCAATGAATAAGTATGCAAATTTCAAGATATGTGCAGATCAAACAACATATATGATACATGTAATATATATATAAAAAAACTTTCTAAAAATAAAACACATGCCAAGTGTATAAAAAAGTATATGCAACAAATTGAAATTTAAAAAAAAAAAACAAAAATTTAAGATACATATTAAAATTAATATTATATTATGTTTGTAATAAGTAATAAATAGCAATAAAATATTAGTGCAATGTATTATCTTTTTGTTACAATAACTTTTCGTCCTTTTATGATTGCTGCTAATATAAAATACGTATTCGTGTACGTATATATTCATTATTGCAATTTTCTCTTAGTTGTGACTAAGATTCTTGCGTGAATCACATTAATTCATCAGAGTTGATAATCTTAAAAAAATAATAATATTGCTGGTTTTGTTATTATGTAATTTATATTACAATGCTGTCCTTTTTTTGTAGAGTACAAAAAATTGATGAAGAAAATTGACTTTACTGATGTAAAATGCACGCACGCACCATTTATTATTTATCTTTCAGATGGAACTATGACTGTGATAGCGTTTCGGTGCAAGCTATGTGACAAGATCTACGCCCGAAAATCTTCATTACTCGACCATCTACGACTTTGCGGCAAAGAGCCCAAGTACAGCTGTGTTCTTTGCAGCAAGAAGTTCAAGTACAAACACAGATTAAAGTCGCATCTTACAACGAACATACACGCGATGAAACTACGACAACGATAAATGACAAGGATCGGATTTGATTCAAGAATGTTCATAAACCGTTCGACATTCTATTACATTGTAATATAAACATGTACATATATTTTGCCAATTAATAAATATTCAATTCTATATTCATGAATAAAAGTTATCTTTTAATGAATCCCATGACACTTAATTATTGAAGAACGTTTCACTACAGATTGTTCGGCATATTATCATTTAGTAAACGAAACCGAACAATCATCGCTTTCAATCTTTTCAAAACTACTTGACGAACATATGTTTATTACTTCACATATGATTACATGTGGTGTTTATACATATAGAATCTTCTCAAAAAATATGCAAATTTAATTTTTACATAAATATATTTTTTTCTTTCTAGCATTTTAGTACACAAATATAAATTTTAGAACTTTAATGTCTGGATATATATATATATATATATATAGCGTTAGATGGATTTAAAAAACAAATTGCAATTAAATATGACAGCTCTAGCTAAAAAAAGTAAATAAAAAAATATGAATGTATACAAATTTCTTAGCTAAAAAAATGTCACTTAAAGAAAGCATGACTCACAGTAGATTACGATCGTAACATACGATCGTCATATCTCGTTAATGTTGTTCGATGAACGCGGCATTTGGTTTGGTAGCGTAAAAAATGGCGACTTATGCAACTTATGGTTTTCAGGCTTTCTTAAATATTATGCAAATTTTTCTTCTCTTTTTCAGTCTGTCTAGGACGGAAGACGTGGAACTGCGTACAATGCGGTAAGCGCTACCTATGGCATGGCTCTTTGAGGAATCACATACGACTGGAATGCGGCAAAGAGCCGACCTTCAAATGTCCCGTCTGTGGCAGGAAGTTCAAGCACAAACATCGCTGGCAATCGCACGCGAAATGCATGCACAGCATTAAATTGTAACGCGCGAGAAATTTCGCCGAAAGAATTGCACATAGGACTCCTCGATGACATGATCGCTTCGCATACATATACTTTCACGTAATGTAGAGAGCTTATACGAAAAAGTACATTTCAGCGGAGCAGCAGAAACACGAAATCGTATCTCAAGTCGTGTTTGTATTATACTTAATGATTAAATAAGAGAAAAACAGAGCTTTATAAGAAAATCTATATTTTGTAATAAGACGCGAAATAAGCGATTTTTGCAATTCTGCGTGTTATTAAATTTTACAGTTACTAATATATTAGATGTAGTAACTTATAGACAAATTTATATGTCAGTATTATATATTTGGATTTCTAGAATACTCTATAAAGTTTCTTTGATTTTGTATTTGTGTATGTAATTTATTAATCTCCTAACGTAGATACTTCTTAAAATTTATTAATAAAACACATTGTTTCAATCGTTATTAATTTATTAGTGGAATATATATTTTTCTTTTATTGCTACTTCCAAACTGATGTATATATCATTATAGCAGAGAAAGTGACGCTATCTTTTAGTAATCTCGGTTTTTTAAAAAATATATAATATATTAAACATATTATATATTTCTATTTTTATGGTCGTAAAATATATATACTTCCTTTTAATTACTGATGTTAGCAATGAAAGAATTGTTAGGAAAGAAAAATTGTAACCAAAATAGTAAATATATATATTGCAGCTTATTTTTCGTTATATAGTTATAATAAAATTGTAATGTACACGCAGAGATCGTTTATCAAATAATTTTTATATTGGATTTTTGATGTTGTAAAATTATTTTTTAAAAATGTTTCGAAGCGTTTAAAGCGCCCATGATATAACACGCATTTCACACAATTGTAAACGATTTTGTAGTATTGCATATTGGAATGTTTTTTTTATTAGTTCGATGAACTCGACGAAAGACTTGAATTTGTCCTGATTCTGTTTACTCATGCTTAAAAAATTTTTTTTAAAGATTGTCGATGTGCTTTGTAATTTCATCTTGTGCAGAATTTTCCTTCTTTCTTTCTTACAGGAATTATATGTGACAATATTTGAAACAAGGTAATCAGTAATGTATAAATAAAGTATTTTTACATAATATTGCATATCAGACAATAAAGGAGGGAATCCAATATCCTTTCGATAACATTTATCCAAGAAAGTGACGTGCAAAAATATCAATTATTCAGCATAATGATTTAAGATCAGCTCCTCGAACAACGAGATGCATTAAATCGAGGTAGCAATTATTGTGACGCGCGCTTTCGATGTTACGATCAAGAAAAGCGAGTCGAGCAAACAATTTAATGATCGCTGCTCTCTTTTTTCAGTTTCTTCTCTGAAGTCCTGGTCTTGTTATCGATGTGGCAAGCGGTACGTATGGCGGGATTCATTGAAGAAACACCTACGAGTCGAATGCGGAAAGGATCCTGCCTTCGAGTGTCCGATTTGCGGAAGGAAATTTAAGCACAAACACCGATGGCAGTCACATGCCAGATTGATTCATTATATTAATATATGACCGAATCACGAACTTATCGATCAGTCGTAAAGCAAGCAATACGAGAGAACAGTTTTTTTCTCATATTTTCTTATATTGACGAAAGATTGAACTATATTTCAGTCTAGAACGTACCTTTTCTGTCTTTTTTATATTTGTGATAAATGTGTTTGTTGAAATATATATCACACACAGTGTTGGGTAGTATCTAGATACATGTATCTAGATACAGTATCTAGATACATTTTGTGTTTCTGAGTCTGTATCTGAGATATATTCGAATTGAAGTATCTATATCTGTATCTAGATACAAAACATAGTATCTGAATTGCTTTTTTCAGATACATTTGCAGATACATTTTCACATATTTTTTTGAATACTCCAATTCTTTAAATTATTAAAAAATCGAAACTGCAAGTTATCAACATAACGTCATCAACATCGGTTGAGCTATTATTAAGCATTGGTCAATTTTTTTAGTACCATGACGAAATAATTTGAGTGACGATATCTTTGAGGCATTTTTCACGTGTTAAGACTAACAAATAAAGTCGTAATATAAACAAAAATATTAATAAAGATAAAAGAATTATTCAGTACGTTTTGTGCATATTACCATTATTATGATAAAATATAGTTTAAAAGTATCTGATATGTATCTGAGATATTTTTAAAGTATCTGAGTATCTGTATCTATGTATATACATTTTAATTTGTGTATCTATATCTGCATCTAGATATATTTTTTTACATGTATCTGTATCTGTATCGAGATACATTTTAAATGTATCTTACCCATCACTGATCACACATTGCATAATATATTTTTATCAGATATAATATTTCTTTAACATTATCATTTTTTTTGAAAAACACAATAGCTTTTTTATTTCTTTGACGATTGTTCCCAACTTAATCTCTCCGTTAATCTTTATATTTTAGAATTAGAAGTTCTGTTGTAAATATGAATATATCAGCAAAATTTTCTGTCTTTAGAAAACTCATCGAAGTTATTTTGAAGATATAATTATTGATAATATTTATATTTGTTTTTTGTGTTTAATTATTGTTTAATAAATGAGAATGTAAAAAGTGAAGGCGTTACGGCATTAAACAATTGTAAATAAAATATATTTCAAAAACATCTTATAAGCACTTTTTCCCGTTTATATCCTATTGGTGTCATATACCCAAAGGCTAATTTCTGCGTTATATTTTTTACATGCATATATTTTATTATATTATATATATATTTTTGTGACAAAAAAATTTCAGTATAGATATGTGGTAGATGTTCTCAGAACATAAACCCGTCAATTGTTATTTTTTAAGGCTCCTGCATACTCGATTGCCAAGTCCGTGTTGACAGTGACGACTTAATTCAAAACAGTAGAAATAAGAATCTCTATATTATTTTATCAACAAAAGATGTACAATAATATACAAAAATAATATAATTAATAAATAATATCATTTTGTTTATTAAAAATAACCATATATGTTATTTTAGCAAACTAAATTAGTCTTGCGACTTACAGCGTTATTTTTCATTTTATTGCAGTGTTTTTATGTTTCAAATAATTGTCGTGGTGTTAAAATATACCGAAAACCATTTTGACATAATTTAATATGTGAAAGCAAATATTTATTTAATTTTAATACCTGTCAAACAGCTGATTTTCGTATTTGGTTAGGCTCAATTCAATTCAATATATATAAATTATTAAAATAAAAGGAGAATTTTCGGTATATTTTACAGGTCTGTTTTATCAATTTTAAACACTATTTTATTGACAAACATTTTTATTTTAATGTAAGTCGCAAGAAGTTTCATGATATATTTTTTCACTTTTGACGTCATCAACTCAAGATGCAATGAGTATTCAGGAACCTTTGCAATAGAAACAGATCTAAGATGCTTTTTATATTCACAAATTCACAATCAATAACATACTTAATGTTTAATAAATACTTCAAAATCTCAATTTTTGCATCTATAGATATATGTACATATATCTCATTTGTAAGTCTTACTAACCGGAAGTTACTGTCACTTTCAGGGGACGAGGAAAATTGGATGGTTTTTCCAAACTGCCGAAGAGATTACGAAGATGGAATTCAAGTACTACAACGCAAAGAGTGTTTAAGTCGCAATTTTGTTTGTCTGATATGCAATAAGGCCTACAAACGGAAGTACCATTTACAGAGACATATGAATAACAAATCACACAAACGTAACAAATTTTTGAACGTGCGCGAACGCTTATATTAAATTTTCGTTAAACAAAATATTTTATTTTTTTATATATATATATCTTATTTTATTATATTATATAGGGAAGATAAAATGCAATATATATTATCATCCTAACAAAAAACAAGATAAATTCTTTATAATCCAAAAATTTTGACAAATATATTTTTTCTCACAATCAGATAACAAAGATGCGTCACGTAAATAACATTTGATGTTATAATAAATGTGTGTATACACACACACACACACACACACACACACACACACACACATATATATATATATATATATATATGTTCTTTTTAATTAAACATGCATATTTCATGTAGTAATTTAAATATATTTCCACTTAAGAAATATTTTGCACTTTCTCATACATCTTTGTTATATAGATAATTATTATATAACACTTATTTGCATTATATATTGGTCAAAAGTAAAAAAAATTAAATATTTGTGAGGTTACATGTTTTTCTATTTTTAAGATATCACGAAAAGAAAAACAATTTTTGTATGAAAAAATAAATTGATGGTTCTTATTTTATTGAAATAAATATATACTTATATATAAATGTATTAATTATTATTGAATTTATTTGCTTGTATTCCTTTCTTGTTATTAAACTATATATATACGAGTATATAAAGCTTTATTTTAAGAAGATAATAACACAAAAACACAATTTTTTGAGATTTTTTATTTAAAAAATAAGATAAAGAATTTAATGCTTATAGATTGGTAATTTTGAATTAATTGTGATTTATTAAATTTATATATGCTTTAGCCGAAGCTATAATTTAAAAAGAGAAAGATTTTTAAGTATTAGACTTATAATTGTATATATTAATGTAACTGAATCTTTGTTAGAATTAGTTTTTCAAGACTATTTATTATCAAATTTGCAGAAATTTAAAAAAACAATAATTCATTTATTCGAATCACTCATTGTCAGTTATATTCAGTCACATTATAATTATCATTATTATTATATATCTATTAATATTATTATACCTCTATGTGTAAGAAAATTAAAATTGTAATAAATATCTGTCATATATTTTTCAAGCAATATTTATGAAAAAAATTAGTTTAAATAAATCTTCTATAATATATTAGTTTTTATTTAGAAAGCGTAAATTTTTTCACTTGTCTGATATCTTACAATTAATTAAAGAGTCATTAACATTTTCTTTATATATATATATATATATATATATATATATATATATATATATATTAGATTGTTAGTAATAATTTTTTTTAATCTTTTACGCTTTTCTCTTTTCCATTTCAGTCCCGAGACTAATCGTGAAGAATATAGAGAAGTTGAAGTACACGAAAAAACCAGTTATTTACAAATGTACGAGATGCGGCAAGAGTTATCAATTAGAAACGTCCTTACGAAGACATCAGAGATCGGAATGCGGCGTCGAGCCCAAACACGAATGCCAGATATGCAGGAAAAAATTCACATATAGATTCATGCTAACTCATCATTTAGCGTCATGTAGAAAAAAGAGATCACTGAAAGAAATGTTTTAGACGAATATCGAATTTCGAGATGACACAAAGACTACGTAACGATTCGCAGAATTAATGCTTCTTTATTTCGAAAGAAATATATTTATCATTCAGATAAAATTGTGTTATAGAAAGTTGCGTTAATTCTGAATTAACTATTTATAGTTTTTTCCTATATTATGATTGTTGCAAAATAATAATAAGTTTATAACAATCTTCAAATTAATTAAAAAAATGTATATTATTACGAAATAACACGCTTGAACATAGATAATTGATTATAAAATACATACATCTTGCTACAATTTGAATCCTTCAAAGTAGCACAGTGAAAAGACTTTTTTAATATATTCATATATAAATATTTATATATATTTATAAATATTTATATATATTTATAAATATTTATATATAAAATGTATATATACATAAATATTTATATATGGAAATAAAATATATTTTGCGCTGTTTTATTGTTTTGCAATATTAAACTATTATGCGTTGCGTTTTAAAAAAAGAATTTTAAGCATATAATTTAATTAAATATTTCTTATTCTTGTTGCATGTAAAAATATTATAGTTAAATATTAAATAATTCTTATTACTGCATAAAACTCAACGTAGAATTATAAACTGTATTTTTATATAATTGTATAAGTATTTAAAATTAGACACTGAAGAAAAAAAGATTTTGTATTTGTAATTCAATTATATATAATATGTTTATGTAAACATATAGACTGACACTATTTTTAAAAGATGTGATAAATTGTCGAAAAATATGGGATACTGACATTTCTACTTCTCGTTGTATAAGAAAAAAGAATTTACAAACTAAAGTACCAACCTTACTATGCTCTTTGTTAGTTAAATGTATTTTATTAATAAATTGCCCAAAGATCAAAACATTACAATAAAAATACCCTACTTCTATTTATTCGAATGATTTTTCCTTTTTACTTTTTTGATGTCTATATACTTATTAAAATAATATTTAAAAAGTGTAATAACAAAAAATTACGATATTTAATTCGCACAAAAATTTATAGCTTGCCTGTTACTCTTTTATTTTTATCTTCTTTTTTACATTTTTCTTTCTTTTTAAATTATCTTTTTTGCGTTAGTAATTTTATCAACATTTTTTTCTCAGCTTATGGAAATTAAATTTCACTTGTGCTCGTGCGCAATTTTCAATCAGTTTTATTTTCTAATTAAAAATTCTAACTGCACGAACTTAAGCACTGCAATGCTTGCCAAACGCTGATAATAATAAACGAATCGATAAATAATCTTCAATGTATTTCATCAAAGTATTCGGAATTAAATGATAAATAATCCATAATTCTTTTTTTAATTCTTGGCATATTATAAATTTCTTTTATCCTATATTTTATGATGTATTAATATTTTTAATAACTTTTAGAAATATTTTTTTAGCAATAAAAGTAAATAGATTTTCCGATAATGAAATAAAACTTTCGTAATTAGGTTTTATTCGTTTGCATAATCGTGATTTTTCAAATAATTCTTAATTATATTACAGAGAAGTTAATGGCGTGATAATCAATATTGCATCTTTAATGACTTCCTCATCGGAAGTCTATTAAGGCTCCTGGATACTCACCGCGACCATCTTGGATTTATGACGTCAGAAGCGAGAAAATATATCATAAAAATTCTTGCGACGTATGTGAAAATAAAAATGTTTTTAATAAAATATCGGTTGAAATGGATAGAACACACTTGTAAAATATACTGAAATCTCTCTTTTTACTTGGGTTATCAATAAATGACATGTATATGTCAAATTAAATTGAGCCTAACCACAAGGACGAACACCAGCTGTTTGACAGGTATCGAAAAAAAATTAATATTTGCTTTCACATATTAAATTATGCCAAAATGAGAGTCTTCGGTATACTTTAACAACGACAATTATTTTAAACACAAAAACACTGCACTAAAATGAAAAATAACGCTGTACGTCGCAAGAATCTTTCGGGCTGTCATTTCTCGCTTAGAGAAAGAAACAGAACTATAATCCGGCGAGTTTCCAGGAGCCTTAAAGATAAAAAAGATGATTGAATAGTATTTCAACCTATGCTTTCCACTAGCACGTTTTTAACTGGAGAATCATTTAATTGAATGTCTAATCACAATTCGGAGAGTAGCGTCAAATAAATCGCGAAGTGCGTCGTCTAACCACACGTTGTCCTCTCGTTTCAGGTGTGCTGGCTTCTATGTTACTATCGCATGACAACAGCGAGTTGTCCTGGAATCAACAGCGATTCGATGAGACATACAAGACTTCTACAGCCAGGGCTTCTCGAAAGAAGAGCACGGACGGCATTAAATACGAGTGCAACAGGTGTGGAAAAACCTATAAGGCCACGACCTCCTTGAGCCGACACAAGCGGCTCGAGTGCGGCGTCGTGCCTTGCGAAGTATGCCCTATCTGCGGTCGCAGATTCAAACACAGATTCGTTTTAAACGCGCATGTCGTCGGCTGCGAGAGAAGAAATTCCCCTACGATGCTAAAAAAGGATCGCTATGATTAAAGACATCGCTAATGATGCGAAAGAATGAAAGCGATCGATAACAAGCGATAATCGGTGAATAATATGTAATCAAATTTACATTCAACGAAGACATCCGTACTAACATTCTTTCAAAGCACTTGTGACTAAGCTCTATGTAAAATATATATAACATAAGATGAGCATGCATCCTGAGATTTTTATCTTCAATTTAGAAGACTGTAAAAAGTATATAGCATTTTTAGGAAATTCATGAGTTTAGTTTAGATTATAAATGCCGAACAAGACAAAAATACGAAAAGCTCTCTAAATTTTCACAAAGCTTTGACATTTTCATTTTTCTGCGCGCAAAGATATTTTTATTTTTAATTTATGTAAATATCATATATATATATATACATATTTATTGTACTTTCTATTATCAGCAAGAATGGATGTGTGAATGCACATGTGTATGTTCTCTCTTGCAGTATGGACAAAAGTGATAATAGTTTTTTTGCGAGAAACATGCATTACGCATATATACCTACTTTTACGATTAATATATGCATATTTATGATGAATGTGTTGCATTTACAATGTATTTAATCTCTTATTATTTATGTAATTTAGTCATAAAAAATGTAGTCAAAAATGTAAAATATAATCAATTATTGTTATCTATAAATTAAATTAAATATCATTATTTTGACACAGACAGATATCAATGCTTTCTATTTCATAAACTTCGATGATAAATGATGCAAATATATTTCTTATTTTTTATTATATAATAAAATTTTAGCTTATAATGTTTTGCACGTGCAATACATTAAATGCGCGTAATATATTCATGTATTATATATACATACTAAAAATATAAAACTGTTTAAACACGTGCTCGTGTTGAATTTTACCTTCACGTCATAATATTCTTTATGCACGATTGGTGATTATATTTTTGTACAAAAATATAAATTAAAAAACTAATAATGAAATATAGCACACATACAACGTTTGTTGACCATAAAAGTGCTGTAAGTAACGAGTAAGAAGAATGTAAATATGTATTTTAAACTAAGTGTAATTAATTTCACATCTATTTTAAACTGCATAATTATTACATCTTCGTTATGCCGTATTTTAATTTGAGTTTTAGTATTTACTTATTTGAGAGCTTGATGAGCCTGATATCGAGCTTTAGTTCTCTTATCAAGTATTATCTCATAAAAAGTGCACATTTAATTATTTTTTAATTTTTTAATATATTTTAATCTTGTTTTCATATTCTTTTCTAAATATAGGAAAAATATATGAGGAAAAAAACAATACTACATATTATTGTTTTTAGCTTTATAATTAGATGACATCTTAGAAAATTTATAATTAACAATAAGTCAGAAATTAGTCGATCTTTATTTCAAATAAAATTGACTATTCAAATATATAATTATTCAATTATATTAAAATCAATTACGCAACTAACAGAAAAATATATTCTTTTTGACTCTCTTTTGCTCTTTTAATTTTTTTGACAGATAACAGCATTTGTATTTATGAAAATATATCCCTATAAGCGCATGATATTATTTAATATTTAAGCAATATTCTAGGCGTATTTTTAGAATATTTAATATTCTAAGAATACGCCTAGAATATTGCTTAAATAATATCATGCGCTTATAGGAATGGACAATATATTGTCATTGTTTATTGAAAATTACATTTTTAGAAAAAATTATATACGTAACTTTTAATAACGAATATTTTACATATAATCAATTCAGTTCTGTTACCAAGCAATATTTTTTTTATACATATATTTAAAACTGATCCAATTTAATAAACATTTTTATATTTTATACGCAGTATTGTTTTAATTTTTTTTATATGTGATTGCATTTCGAAATCATTCTGCTATAATACCAAATCCTATTTCCTTCTCCATTAAATTTTAATAGCCTAATAATTACTAAAATATTAAATAAAAATCCAATTAATAGAAAACTATATTTTATTTAAATTTGAGTCCGTGCTATCGCGTTTTTTTAATCAAAAAGCACGATGACTATGTTTAGTAAAGTCGCAAAATGATTTATAATAATTTTCGCTAACTTTTATTTTATGTTGACAGGATTCAAAGTGAGCAACATATGGAGCATGACTTCCCATAACTTCGAAAATATGCCGATTAATGACCCTTTTAAAATGAGAAGCCTCAATGAACCTACATTATTTCATGCGAACGCGAACGATTCGATCAGGCGTCAAATATTTAAATGTAATTTATGTGGAAATCAATATACATATAATAGCAGTTTACGTCGTCATCAATTGCAATGCGGTAATAAAGAGGCGAAGATGGAATGCGCGTTTTGTTCGAAGAAATTCTACAGACGGGATAGACTTAAGGATCATATATTGGTGCATCATTCTAATGTGCCGACTGAGGATTATGAAACCTCATTTAAAACATAGTTATAATCCGATCAAAGTTGAGAAGTGCTTAACACTTTACGTGCGCAATATAAATTTATATTTACATTTTTTATTAAAGCAAGACTTTTTTCGAATAAGTTTCATTTTATATATATATATATATATATATATGCAATGTAAAAAATGTAGAAATAATTAAGATATGTTTTTAAACGCATGTTTATATAATTCACATTTCTTTTCATAAATAAAATAGCTAAATTTTTATTTTAATTACATGAAAAATTACGTTACTATCGCGATAAAAACAATTAATTTTATTAATACATAATGATTAATCTGTGTTTTATGTTATATGTATTTAACATTGAAAGTGTCAGTTTTCTTTTAACATTTTTTTATAAAAATATATTTGAACAATCTGATATTATAAAATATTGAATAATATTACATAATTATTAATTATTATGTTATAAATTCAATTGTTCGAATTGATCAATTTCTAAAAAAAATTTAAAGAAAAGTATTGATAAATCTATTTAACATATATTGTATTTATCATTTTGTTCAATTAAAGTTTTATTACAAATAATCGTAAAATGAAAAACTGAGAAGATGCAAAGAGTTAATATTTTCAATAATTATATTCAATAATTATATATAATTAATTTAATAAGGAATCTATCAAAAGGATTGTGGGAACATTCTAATTTCTGATATATATTAAATATTGCAAAAAATTCTGCATTTTTTCGAAATATGTTGTGCACCGATAAATGGACGTCATTAAGTATATATAGAACTACAGTACCTGATAGTAATAATTCATTAAGGGTCGGTTGTTCCAACTTCTTGGTAAATTTTACCCGACAGATAGCATATGTGCATCCTTTTTTTAAACTTATAATTGTGTATATAGAATATTGTAGATCTAGCATTTTTATACAAAACTTTGTGTTTTCAGTTTTAGTTATATCCAAGTTTGTATTAAAATCAGATCATTAATTTAATTATATATGAATATATGTATGGAAACATATATTTATGTATACATATGCATTGAATCAAATTACTATTTTTTTAGCTCTTTATTTGATTTTAATTAAAAAAAATTCTTAGCGTAATTAAATTTCACGATATGGATACATCACCTCAAATTACTGGTTTTTGTAATAGTTTTAGTTATATTTTTCTGTAATATTTTTAGTTAACAAAGTTAATTTTAGACTTCAAATTTGAAAAACATTAATATATGTTAAGTATATATTAAAATTTAAAACACGTCCACGCAAAAAGATGAATGTACGAAATAAAGCGCACCGATAAAGTAAATTAATGTATAAAATTTGTAATCTTAAATCTTTTTTTGTTACTGATTTCATATATATGAAATTTTGTAGAAATCAACAATTGTATTTTGCTCAAAACTAATTAACGATTTCAATAAAAGAAATAATTATATTTTCAAATGTCCACGTAACTATATGTATATACAATAAACACACGATGCAGAATTTCTGTGCTATACACACGTAACATCCTCCTCTGCAGCATCATCTTCCTCATAACATCTTTCAATGTACAATAGTATATGTGAACGAAGAATATTATAAATCATTTAAACAAAAACTAGATTTAATAATATTAAAAAAATGTGAATAATATAAACTATGTGGAAGATTTAATTTCATTTGTATTCAAATAATACTCAATAATTAGTAAAACTGTAATTAAAAACTTAGAAATCATAAAGATGTGATAATTTAACAATCAATTTCAGTTTACTGATATAAGTGAATTATTATCAAAGTATAAATCTATAATAATAAATGATAATATTAGTATGTATCGAAACGTATTTTGATTGCGTTATTTATGTTTATGGATATAATGATAAATATGAATGTGTGTGTATTATATATATATATATATATATATATATATATATATATATATATATACCATATATATACATATACCTTTTATCGTGATATATTGATTAATTATATAATTAACAGTATTCGTGTAATTATGTGTTATATTATTATTTTTACGTAAATAACCGAATCTTTTCCGTATTCCAGATGGCATCCTGATGGAAGAGCTTAGCGAATTCAAGCTGAATACCAGTATCACCCGATATTGCGTAAGTCGCGGCAAAGCAACAGCACCGGAGGAACAACATTTCGTGTGCGGCGAATGTGGCAAGGGGTATAAATGGATGGATAATCTACGGCGGCATCAGAGATTGGAGTGCGGCAAGCTACCTAAATGGCATTGCGAAATTTGCAAGAAAATGTTCTACCGTCGATACGAATTGACCAAACATATGAACTTGAAGCATATAATCTAGAATAATCGATTTTTTCTCGCAACAAATATTTTTTTTGTTGAATAATTATGATTATTTTATTTGATTTGTTGTATTTTGCGATTATCTCTACGACTTCGTGTGATAGTATAATAAAATGTATTTCTTATTATATGTGTATCTCTTGTTGTCGCATGCATTATATCGAAATAAAGCAATCTATAAATAACATAATGTGTATTTTAAAAGAGTTTTTTTTTTATATTTTAAGTTATTTTTGAATTTTGACTTTATATTTTACTCGAATTTTTCCTCTATTTTTAATCTATTTTATATTACATTATATTATTCACATTATTTAACAAAAATGTGAAATATGCAACATCGCCATATAGAAACATTAACAAAACGTTTCTTCCTCTAGCTTTTTCTCTTTCTGTTTCTTTCTCTCTTCGAAAAACTATCGAAGCTATAAATAAAAAACATTTACAAAACATTTATTTATAGGGTTTCTCTCCTTATTTTTTAATTCATCAATAAAAATTCATTTTTTTATTAAAAAGTTCTAATATATTATATGTTTATTAAATTACTATCATATTTTCTAATCTTTTATTCATAAATGTAACGTATCTAATACTAATTCATTTTCAAGGTTTTCATATTTTCTTCTAAAATATATATCATATTTTTCCAATTTTTCAGTAACAGCGTATTCATATACATATGAACACTTTTTCCGAATGCATGCGCTTATAGAATTTTTTTCCTCGCAATTTTTTCTATCCTTCAGCTTTGTAAATCTCAGATGATCAAGATATATATCTAACATGCGTTTCCTGTTTTTTTATAGATAACACGGAACTATGCGATTGGTTAATCGAGCCCTTGTTAACACAAGAGTTTGACGAGGATATCGCACAAAGCTGCTTCGAATTCGTGACCACCAAATACGAATTTCCAGAATCCCCAGAAAGCATGGAACATCGTCGAAAGAAGCAACTGAAGATTACTACGCTCGTCTGCGAGGAATGCGGAAAAAATTTCTCGAGGCTCGACAGCCTTAAAAGACACGAAAAGTTATACTGTAAAGTGAAAAGCAAGCCTACATCCTGTCCTGTTTGCGGCAAGAAATTCGAAAAGCCTCTTTCTTTACACAATCACATAAAGAGTGCTCATCCATCATTAGTCGTCAAAAAGGAAGAACCGGAATAAATTATAATGCTCTTCGAATCGACCTACATAGTTAAACTTTTTTTTTAATTTAATAAAAATGCGCATGTAACTTCTTTTTTAAAAAAGATAGATAACATCGTGAGTATTGCTTAAATTTATAGAAACTAATATGCTAATCAATTTATAAATGAAATATATAGAGATAAACAAAAAAAATCTTGTTAAAATGTTTAAGTATTTTTTGCACTCCTTTATGGGATTGGGAAAAGTATTATAAAGATTTAATTTTTTTACAATACAATAAAGCGGAAAATTATATATGTATGACATGCTAATTATATATGTATAACTGCTAATTTCTGATATTATCTTAACTTTTGTAGAAGCTCCATATTTGCGCATATTCCTTATTTATACGTATATTTATTTCGTATCTATATTCACGCAATGTCGTTATCTTCATCGAAGTATTTTTACATAAATTAAATTGCTTATTTGCAAATTAATGAAAATAATATGAAACAAACAAAAAAAATATATATATAATATAAAAAGTGAGAAGTTATAATAATGCTTTTGCTTAGTTATTAATCCTTTTTTTCTAAAAGAATATTTTTAAGAGAATTGACTTTAATTTTTGATTTCAAATGAAGAAAATAAAAAATAATAAAAAATAGAAAGATTTTTTTCCATTTATTTTTTCTTTATATTATCATTTTTTTCCTTTTCTTTATATGTTTGTCTTTTTTATAATCGTGATATTTATATCTACGACAATTTTATAAAACTGATCCTAAGCATAATTTTGAAATCTCTGCAAATATGGAGCTTTTTATTTCATACATTTGATACCAAACATATACATGTACATTTAAGATAAATTTGTAGTTCACAATGTACGTATATCAATATAAGAAAACATAATATGTTTACGCATCGTCATTATTTTTTTAATCAATAAATATCTACAAAGAGAAGGTAGATTCTTTGCTGAATTTTTAGACCCTCGTCATTTTTTATTCAAAGTTATAAAAGTCGCGCGAACTTCTTATTATATATATATCTTTCTTTTATATTTTCAATTTAAAAAATCTTGAAAAAAAGAAACACTCTTATGACTAACAAATGAGACTTCTAACAATTGAAATTTTGAAGAGAACTTTAGTCTTTCTACAATCTCATACCCTACGATTACCAAAATCTAGATCAGAAGGTAATTCATGAGATTATGCATGCTGCTGGCTGTATGCTGCTCGCTTGCCAGTCGTTTTGCACGTCTTGCTTCGTATTTTTATCCTTTAACAGACTAACATGTCTTTGCAGACGAGGATGTTCAATGCGTCGCGGAAAAGAGCAACGACGAGGAACCAGAAGTCTGCGAGGTGCCCTTCCACGGTCAGTTGAATTACTTGCTGTGCGATTCTCCGATTCTGAACAGCGTGGAAACCAATGTGGTCCAGAAAAACGCCAAATCCTGTCAGCAATTTCGCTGTGACGGCTGCGGTAGAGCATACACGAGGGTCGACAGTCTAAAACGTCATCAGCAGAAGTGTGACGAATTTTTGGCATCGTTTCAAGATCGGCAAGAGACACTGGAGAGGCTTCAACAGCAAGAATACTATTGCAATCAATGTGGCAAGACGTACAGAAGGTTAGATACTTTGCGTCGCCACCAGCGATTAGTGTGTGGCGACAAAGAGAGTAACCATTCTTTAAAAGTGGACAAGACGAGCTTATAAAAAGAGGTCAATCAATATCGATTGATTTCAAACAATTACGAGAGAGAGAGAGTGTGTGTATGTGTGCGTGTTATGAAATAATGATCTTTAATATAAATTAGATTCAGAATGAAGTTGTTTCGATAAAAATGTCGGCTATATGTATCTTGTAAGTGTTTAAATGCGCTTTTAAAGAAGTAAAGTGTATAAATGCACTAACGTATGACATCAATGTGACTGTTTTTTCACAATCAGATCGTGAAATTCGATTAATCAAATGCGCAATATATTGCTTCAGAATGCTATTAAGAATGCGTAACAACTAGAGAGCTATATATGTGTTTTTATTGTATATTATCGATGAGAGATTTAGCTTCGCATTATGCTACACGAACTTTATTAGGTGATATCTTTAGTGAGATAAGTGTGCATCGAGCAAAATTCAAAAAGTAATAAGTGTAAATAAGTCTTTATATTGTTCGTGCGCGAGATTTAAAATTTTATGGCATAAAAAATACTTATATATATTTCATCCGATACCAGTAATTACCGCTTGTGCAGATCGTTAGAAATAGATATTTATTTCACATAGATAAAATATGTTTCGCGTTACATACACATCAGCAAATAAAAATTTTTTTTCTAAGCAATTATTGTGAGTTTATTCAACAAACGATAAGATTAAAATAATGTAATTTAGACACACATACATATATACATATGTATACGCATATACGTATATTCAATTTATTCTTCTCTATACATATATATAATTATAATTAATTTTCGTTTTTTTATAAAAAAAAGTATCTACAAATCACGGATATGTACACGTGAAAAGTAAAGATGACAGGATTTAGTTTGCTTTAAAATAATCGCGACAATAATAATAACTGTGTAATAAATAAATAATGGCTCTTTATAGATATCAAAAAAACAATTATGTCATTTGTAATTCCTACGCTTCTATCTCAAGCGAAATAATTGTATGTGCTATATGAAGTTTATTCAATCACAAAATTATTAATTAAATCAAATAATATATCAAACATTCCATTCATTGCTTTTGCCAAAATTAAAGTAAAAGAGATTTGTTAATGAACGAATAGAGAATTAACAGTGAAATTACTTGGAATATCACATTACAGAGCAAATAAAGCCAAGAATATCATCGCTCTGCACCGAGCACATCCTTATCAACCTTCTGATATCGGCTGCATGCCGTTCATTCATACATTTTGACCTCAAATTGAGTGATCGCAAAGCAAAGCGAGTTTTCTTCGTAACTTTGACCACGTTTTAAGCGATTGGGACGTCGCCTAACTTCTGGTGCTCTGCTTTTTTCGCAGAAGCGGACCAACCGGAGGAGTACGACGCACTGTGGATGCTTGAGAGGAAGGCGCACAACATCGGTCAGAAAAGCCAAGAATCTCTGCAACCATTCTCGAGCAAGTTGTACTCGCCGTTGGAGGTGTACGAAACTTCGGTGCCTAATGACTACGTCACGCAAGCTCATATGTACAGCGAAAATTCTTACGCGCCGATGACACAGACCTGTTACATCTGCGCTGATTGTGGCAAGCAATATAAGTGGATGGACAGCCTGAGGAGACACCAGCGTGTCGAATGTGGCAATAAGGAGAAAAAGTTCTCATGTTACGTGTGCAATCGAAAATTCAAATATCGGTTCGAATTACGAAAGCACATGAAATTGCATTACGCCAAGTAACTTTCTTTTTTTCTCCAAACGTGATTTGTGCGAGTTAACTGCACGAATTAAGATAATGCGCGTGACCTGAGTCGCATCTTTCGAGAGGCAATGCTCAAAATATTTGTGATTGAGAAATTTATTAGCATGTTGATAGAAATAAATTTTTTGAAAAATGGGATTCCCTATACAACACAATTTCTTCTTACATAAATATTAAAATAATAAATAAAAAAATTAAAGTATTTATTACCGTTACAAGATGTGAATAATCCCTTTTTTGTTGCATATGTACAAAAAGTCAAATACAATATATTTGAATAAATAAAAATTACTTGTGTATTAAATTTGCGATGTTTTTACTGATATTTTACTATCAAAATTTTATTATTCTCTGTAACAGAATATGAAATACATATTTTTCAATACATCATTATCAAAATTATTATAAAAATTATTCTTATTTTTGAAAACTGCAAAAAATATTTACTTCGTACTTTATGTTATATGTTAAAATGTGTGTATTGTAATTATGAAACACATGTTAAAGTTAGTTTGAATGGCTAATGAATAATAAAGTTGTGAACATACAAAGAAAAATATATATGTGCTGCATTTATATATTAAAAAAAAGATCTACTTTTTTTAAAGTTTTCACAAAAAATAATCAAAACTATATGTACATACACGTGATATATACACGATCAACTTTAGCGCATTTAAATCTGTAGTTTTTGTTAACATTTTTATGTTTAATGTCTATAAACAATGCAGATTGCTGTCCTAAAAATATTCTTAATGTAAAAACTAATTTCCGTAATTCAATATACCTAAATATACATTTGTCAACAATAAGAAGAAACAATATTTTCCTTCCTCCTTCAAGAAATAAATCCTATGATACTAACAAAATTTCAATCAAGGGCACCTTCCCAGATAACAAACTGACGTCAAAATGACGTCATGAAATGTCAAAACGACGTCATTTTGATGTTTAATGACGTCAGTTTGTTATCTGGGTTGTTACTGCTTTCATCGTAAATAGTTGCATATAACTCAATTCTTGTTGTGTACCCAGTGAGAAATTACTAGTTAAAAAGACATTGATTCGACGTCTTTTTAACTAGTGATTTCTTACTGAATACATATACGTCTGTCTTTGTCATGATCGATAATAATTCCTTTTAAACTAATCATGTGATCGCCAATCGCTACAGCGAAAGGGCGCAACATATTTGACAGAGCTTTATTGACACTCTTGTGTGTTTTCTAGAGCGGAAGTACCAATTAACGGAGGAACCAACAATGGATCCAACAATGGAAGAAATCCTAATTAAGATGGAGGTTTGTTCTGACGACAACGCTGTCACTGAGGAGATCGAAAACAATCAACTACTTATGGAAATTAACAGTAATCAGGTAACCACGGGTCATCGCGATTACTCTTGTCCACGTTGCGGAAATGTCTATGTTAGGTCGCAAACGCTCAACAGGCATATAAGATTTGAGTGTGGCGTGGAACCACAATTCGAATGTCATATCTGCCATAAGAAGTCGAAGCATAAACATAATCTTGTATTACACATGAGAACTCATCAAAAACCTTGAGACCATTCAATGCCATTTAATATTACGCGAAGCATTTTGACGTATAATTAAAGTACTCTAAAAATTTCCAGTGAACAAATAAAAGTATTACAAAGATTATAACGATCGATCAATAAAAGTTTAATATAGATATTAAGACAATATAATATTGAGGTTCTTGAAATTCTTTTAAACGGCTTTTGTGCGTATATAATTTGCAAAAGATGTCTCTCATTGTTTTTTCTTTATATATTTATGTTTAATATCTATATCTATATCTGAATGATTAATTTTCTAAGTCTAAAAGCATAATCCCGCCTACTATTTTCTTGTAGAAATTTATCACTAATAACGCCAATTAATCACTTATTTCGAGTACTTAAAATATTGATATACATATGATGTAATTTAAGCACTCGAAATAAGTGATTAAGTACTCGAAATAAGTGATAAATTGGCGTTACTAGTGATAAATTTCTATAAGGGTTTTCGGTGAATTTTTAGGTAAAAAGTGCATTGCATACACACTTGTTATTTTTACAGTTAATTGCAAACAATGAGGTTTTAAAATGTTCAATCGCTGTAGGAATTAAATATCTGTAACTATATCAAACTTAACTAATTTGTATCGATTCTAAGAGAAAAGAGCAGAGTTAGCTTTACTCATAAAATTTTATTATAAATGAGTTTATTTTTTTATTAATTGAGAAAAAATTTATTTAATTAGATACAAGATTAAATATTTTACCATCATATATATTTTAAGAATGTATTTGCTTCTCTCTTTTTCTCTCTTTCTTTTAATATATGGCAAAAATTTATTTATACTGTTTTGTCGAATAGAAACTCAAAAGAAACATAAGCAAATTAGAGAACTTAGTTAAGCTTGATATAAAATCTTAATTATTATTTTATAGATAGTTTTACTCTCTACTATCTAAAAATATAGTTATTCATAATGATTCATTCAATTTCAAATATATTTGAAATAAAAATATATAGAAATATGTTTGAAATTGGATAAATCATTTCAAATATATTTACAAGACGATAATTAAGTATAAAAAGTTCTTATTAAAATTATACTTAAGTTTACTTATTCTTTTACATAATAATAGCGAACTTATCACAAAGATTTACAAGAAAAATATTTTTATTACATATCTTAATTTAAAAAATTTGCCATTTTGTAAATATATAATATCTAATAGAAAATGACTAATATAAATAGTAACTGATTTCGTAACATAAATTCAAAAGAGAGACTCGCGTAAATGTCAACAAGATTATCGATAGTGTCAGATTATCGATAGTTATGGACTGATTCACTAAAATTATTATTTTTTATTTAAGCGATTTTTATTAGTATCTCAATAACGACGAAATTTGAAATAATGACGCGTTTAAGTTGTATTTTTACCATTAAACATAGCAGTAAGTTTATATACTATATAGTTATATATTATTAGTTATATATAATAATTACAAAATTGTAATCGATTTAATTCCATTTTATACAAGATGTCTACGAAATAAGATGCATAGATATCTTAGGAGATTTTAATTGAAACGCAAAATTAGTGAATTGAAATTATATATACAAATGTAAAATTGTAAATTGCATCTTTTTTCGAGATATCTTGTATTTCGAGACACTTGTTTACATATATTTCTGGTCTATTCTTTTGTCAATGAGAATGACTTGAAAAAATTCAGGTCATTTCATTATTATCGGATATCAACTATGATTGTCGATGGTGCAAAATAGTTATGACGTATTTAACTTATACGAGCAAATAATTATTTAAAAGCGACAAATATAAGAATTTATATGCTGTGTATTTTCGCTACACGATGTACACTAATTGTAAGTACACTAGATGCATTAAATAACAATATAACTCTGTTATATTTATAGATCATAAATGAATTAAATAATAATGCCAAGGTGAAACAAATAGTCTGAATATGTACGTTTATATATATATATATATATATATATATATATATATATATATGCTATATGATTCAACAGATATATATATATATATTCAATATAGTATAATTTAGAATCGAATATATATATATATATATATATATATATATATTCTATAAACTCTTAGATAAGGCTCATGATACGCGACTTTTTGTTTATCATGAACTCTTCTTATGTAGAGATGCGTATAAAGACTTATTGTTAGAGTTTATATACACATGTAGATATATGCACAGATATATATATATAAAGATATATATATATATATATATATATATATCTTTAGATATACGTACTATATTAATTGCAGTAAAAATAAATATGTGTATATTTTTTATAAATTACAAAATTTTATTAATGTTTAGATAAGTAGTTCCCTGAAGACACTAATTTTTGCGTTATTTTATTGTCACTCGATAGTTAATGTCTATAATTGTTCAATCGAAAATTTTTGAGTTTTTTTCACAAATTCACAGACACTTATATGTAATTTCTTTGCGAAACATTTGCTGAAATTACGATCATTCAACCGATTAGGGTTGGGAAAGTTACTTAAAAATAATTCGTTGTTACCGTTATTTCTACTACAAAGTAACTCATTACTCTTTACTGATTTTATTTATTAATTTTATTAATTAATTTTTTTTATAAATAAAAGTATCTAAAAACTACAGATATTTACACGTGAAAAGTAAAGATCGTAGAATTTAGTTTGCCTAAAAATAATCGCGATAATAATAACTGTGTAATAAATAAATAATGACTCCTTAGATATAAAAAGAATTATGTCATTTGTAATTTCTTCTACCGCAAATAAAATAATTTATTCAATCACAAAATTAATAATTAAATCGATTATTAATACATATACCAAACATTTCATTCATGTTTTTTGCCAAAATTTAAGTAAAAGAAATTTGTTTATGCATAAATAGAGAACTAACAATGAAATTATACTTAGAATATCACATTACAGAGCAAATAAAAGCGTCTCATCGCACTGCACCAAGAACTTTATCAACCTACTGATATCAGCTGCGTGCCGTTCATTCATATACATTTCGATCTCAAATTGAGTGATCGCGACGCGACGCGTTTTCTTCGTAACTTTGACCACGTTTTAAGCGATTCGGACGTCGCCTAATCTCCGTGGTCTGTTTTTTTTCGCAGAAGCGGACCAACCGGAGGAGTACGATGCACTGTGGATGCTGGAGAGGAAGGCGCGCAGCATCGGCCAGGAAAGTCAAGAATCTCTGCAGCCATTCTCGAGCGAGTCGTACTCGCCGTCGAAGGTGCACGAGACTTCGGTGCCTAATGATTACGTCACGCAAGGTCATGTGTACAGCGGAAATGCTTACGCGCCGATGATACGGACCTCTTATGTCTGCACCGATTGTGGCAAGAAATACAAGTGGATGGACAGTCTGAAGAGACACCAGCGTGTCGATTGCGGCAATAAGGAAAAAAGATTCTCATGTTACATGTGCGATCGAAAATTCAAATATCGGTACGAACTACGAAACCATATCAACGCGCATCACGGGTGACTCTTTTTTCCCGAGCGTGTTTTGTGCGAGTAAGTTCGAACGAATTAATAAGAGAACGCGCGTGACCTGACATATAAGTCGCATCTCTCGAGAGGCAATGCTCAAAATATTTGTGATTGAGGCTAAAACCGATATTGAAACTGAGGAAATTTATTAGCATGCTGATAGAAATAAATTTTTTGAAAAATGGGATTCCCGATACAACACAATTTTTTCTTACATAAATATTACAATGATAAATAAAAAAAAAATAAAGTATTTAATAACGTTGTTATAACTTTAAAAAAATTAAAGTAAATTTATTAAGATGTGTATAATCTTTTTATTTGTGGTATATGTAAAAAGTCAAATATATTTCAATAAATAAAAATTATTTCTGTATTAAGTTTGCGATGTTGTATACTATCGAAATTTTATTATTCTCTATAATAGAATATAAAATACATATTTCTCAATATATCATTATCAAAATTATTATATTTATTTCTATTTTTGAAAACTGCAAAAAATATTTACTTTATACTTTATGTTATACGTTAAAATGTATTATAATTATCATACACATATGTTAAAGTTATTAGTTTGAATGGCCAATGAGAGAGAATAATAAAGTTGTGAACATACAAAGAAAAATATATATGTGCTGCATTTATATATTAAAGAAAAAGATCTACTTCTTTTAAAGTTTTCACTAAAAATAATCAAAACTATGTACACGTGATATATACACGATCAACTATAGCGCATTTAAATTTATAGTTTTTATTAACATTTTTATGTTTAATGTCTATAAACGAAATGCAGATTGCAGTCCTGAAAATATTCTTAATGTAAAAACTAATTTCCGTAATTCAATATACCTAAATATACATTTGTCAACAATAAGAAGAAACAATATTTTTCCTTCCTTTTTCAAGAAATAAATCCTATGATACCAACAAAATTTCAAACATCAAGGGCACTTTGCTTTCATGGTGAATGGTTGCGTATAACTCAATTCGTGTTGTGTACGTCTGTGTCCTTGTCGTGATCGATAATAATCCCTTCTAAACTAATCATGTGATTGCCAAATCCCTACGGCGAAAGGGCGCGACATATTTGACAGAGCTTTACTGACACTCTTGTGTGTTTTCTAGAGCGGAAGTACTCGCCAAGTGCCGCCATCGAATGGTACTACCAGTACCAGACGATGTATCTTCGGCTGATGGCGGAAAACCAATTAACGAAAGAACCAACGAAGGAAACAGCCGTAATTGAGACGAATGTTTGTCCTGACAACTATGCTGTTACCGAGAAGATCCAAAACAGTCAACCACTTACGGAAGTCAACAGTAATCAGGTAACCGCGGGTCATCGCGATTACTCTTGTCCACGTTGCGGAAATGCCTACACTAGGCCGCACTCGCTCAATAGGCATATGAGATTTGAGTGTGGCGTGGAACCACAATTTGAATGTCCTATCTGCCATAAGAAGTCCAAGCATAAACATAATCTTGTATTACACATGAGAACTCATCAGAAACCTTGAGACCATTCAGTGCCATTTAATATTACGCGAAGCGTATAATTAAAGTACTCTAAAAATTTCCAGTGAACAATAAAAGCATTACAAAGGTTATATATGCTTTTTGTGATGCAAAATCGTAATACTGAAGATTTAAAGAGAACGATCGATCAATAAAAATTTAATAAATATTAAGACAATACAATGTTGAGGTTCTTAAAATTTTTTTTAAACTGCTTTTTTACAGTTACAATTTGGAAAAGATGTCTCTCATTTTGTTTTTTTTTTATATATATTTATTTTTAATATCTATATATCTATATCTGAAAGATTAATTTTCTGAGTATAGAAACCTAATCCTATTATTTTCGTTGAATTATTTTTAGTTTAAAAAGTATATTGCATGCGCACTTGTTATTTTTATGGTTAATTGCAAACAATAAATTTTCAAAGTGTTCAATCTGTAGGAATTAAATATCTGTAACTATATCAGACTTAACTAATGTATCGATTCAAAGAGAAAAGAGGATGAGAGTTTTGTTCATATAAAATTTAATTTTACATGCGAGTTTATTTTTTCATTAATTAAGAAAAAATTTATAATCAGATACAAGATTTAATATGTTACCATCATATAAATTTTAAGAATTTATTTGCTTCTCTTTTCTTCTCTCTTTTTTATATATAACAAAAATTTATTTATACTGTTTAACCGAATGGAAACTTAAAAGGAACATGAGCAAATTAATTGCCTCTAATTAAATATACATATCGGATATGTATAGTCATTAAGTCTTCCAAAGAATAATATAAGTAATACAGTAATAATTAAAAGAGAGAGCTTAGCTAAGCTTAATATAAAATCTTGATCATTATTTTATACATAATTTCACTCTCTACTATCAAAAATATAGTTATTCAGAATGATTCATCCTATTTCAAATATATTTGAAATAAAAATATGGAAATATATGTTTGAAACTGAATAAATCATTTCGAATAACTTTATATATATATATATATATATATATATATATATATATATATATTACATTATATATATATATATATATATATATATTACATTTATATATATATACATTATATATATATATACATATATATATACCTGTATATATATATATAATATTACTATATAATATTATAATATTATATAGTATTTACAAGACGAGAATTAATTTTGAAAATTATCTTATTAAAATTATACTTGAGTTTACTCATTTCTTTAGAGAATAATAACGAACTTATCACGAATATTTACAAGGGAAATATTGTTTATTACTTATCTTAAGTAAATTTGCAATTTTGTAATTGCGAATATATGATATCTAATGGAAACTGATTAATATACTAATAATTGATTCCGTAATATAAATTTAATGAAGAGATTCACGTAAATATCGACAAGATTATCGATAATGTTAAAATCGATAATTTTTTCGAGTTTTATTAATGAGTGTTCAAATTTTACTTCCTGTTTAGTTTTTAAAATTTTACATATATATATATATATATATATATATATATATATATATTTATATATGTATAGTCGTGTGTGTGTGTGTGTGTGTGTGTGCAGATATATATTTCAGATTATATTTATGTTAAATATAAGAGAGAATTTATGTGAAATAATGATTCTATATAATGAATCAAAATAATGATTGCATTTTTTTAATTTGCTGAATTTGTTGTCAGCGATATCGAAGTATATTGTTATTAACATTTATAGACTGATTCACTGCCATTATTATTTTTTATTCAAGTGATTTTTATTAGTATCTCAATAACGACGAAATTCGAAATAATGACGCGTTTAAATTGTATTTTTGCCATATTAAACATAGCAGTAAGTTTATATACTATATAGTTATATATTATTAGTTATACATATATAATAATTACAAAATTGTAATCTATTTAATTCCATTTTATACAAGACGTCTATGAAATAAGATGCATACATATATCTTAGGAGATTTTAATTGAAACACAAAATTAGTGAATTAAAATTATACAATTGTAAAACAAATTTTTTAAATTGTATCTTTTTTCGAGAGATCTCGTATTTTAAGACACTTGTGTGCATATATTTCTGATCTATTCTTTTGCCAATAAGAATGACTTGAAAAAATTAAAGTCATTTTGTTATTATATCAGAAATTAACTGTGATCACCGATGGTGCAAAATAGTTATGACGTATGTAACTTATACGAGCAAATAATTATTTAAAAACGAAGAATATAAGAATTTATATGCTGTGTATTTTTGCGCTGCACGATGTGCATTAATTGTAAGTGCACTAGATGCATTAAATAGCAATATAACTTTGTTATATTTATAGATCATAAATGAATTAAATAATAATGCCAATGAAACGAATAGTCTGAATATGTACATTTATATATATGTTATATAGTTCAACAAAAATATATATTCTGTAAAATCTTATATAAGACGCATGATACGCGACTCTTTGCTTATCATGAACTCATCTTATGTAGAGATGTGCATAGAGACTTACAGTTTATATACACATGTGGATATATGCACAGATATATGCATATATCTTTATATATACGTATTATATTAATTGCAGTAAAAATAAATATGTATATATATTTTATTAATTATAAATTTTTTTAATGTTTAGATAAGTAGCCCCCCGAAGACATTATATAATTCTTTGCTGCATTTTATTGTCACTCGATAGTTGATGTCTATAATTGTTTAATCAAAAATTTTTAAGTTTTTTTCACAAATTCACAGACACTAACATATAATTTCTTTGCAAACATTTCTGAAGTTACAATCATTCAACCGACATTTCTCATCCTAATGTTCTTCTAATATATTTTTATTATATGTATATTATATAAAAATCAGACGTAGATAATTGTTATTGTTAAATGCATGTATAGCAATATCAGAAAAGTCAAATCGTGGATGGACAAATCTTGCTATGTTGATTAATATACCAAAAAATATTTTCTCAAAAAATTATTAATTAAATATACAATGATTGAATGGTTTTATATTTGCATTTTATAAGATATTTTAAAAAATATACGAAATAAACATTTTTTTCTTTAATAATTGTATACAATAAAGGATTATAATAATAAAATATGGCGAGTAACAATAATATTATAATAAATAAAATATAACTCTGTAGAGAATATAATATATAAATATATATAAAAAATACTTAATTTTAATACTTAATTAAAAATACTTAAATCGATAATAATTTTTAATATAATTTGAATATTTGAATTTATTGCCATTTGTCCATCCCTGAAATAGATCATAATTGAAAATTCTTTGTCATAGAAATATGTTTTTGTTGTGACACCGTAGCGCAAAGCAATTATCACGCAAAATCATCGAAGGCAATTCGTTTTACACAAAACGTTCGTGAATGCATGCAATTTAGAGACTAGAAGCTACACGAGACGTCACGATGCAAGATCAAATGTACGTAAAAACAGCAAGAAAAATAGAGAGTGAGAGAGAGGGGGGGAAGAGATAAAGAAGAAGAGAGAGATCAATTTATCATCGAAAAGAAAAATCTGTGATGATTGCCTTGATTTGTGGCATAACTATATGCTGCATTTCTGTATGTATAGCCATTGCAGTATTTTCATTTGGTCGCCTAATGCTTCTCTATAATTTGTGTACGTTTGCTTGCGAGAATACAAAAAAAGGAATGTGTACTTGTGTGTATGTGTGTATCTTCTCTCACTGTATCCTTTCCGATGAATGTTTCAGTTTGGAAGCGATTGAAGGAAGCGGAGGATGGACCACCGTTTCTCTGTCCGAAATGCGGCCGCACTTACTCGCACAAGTGCAACCTGACGAGGCATTTACGCCTCGAATGCGGTGTCGGGCCTAGATTTCAATGTGCAAATTGCAAGAAGCGGTTCAAGCATCGCCATCATTTACGGGACCACCAAAGAATCCATCTCTATGCAAACTGTTACGAGTCGCGCAATTGAAATGTCACTCTCGTCCCAAAATCGCTCGCGTCTCTATTCCTTTATTTGGTTTCTTATTTATTCGTTTAATCGTATGTATTAAACATATATATTCATTAAATTATTTATTCATCAGTCAGCTGATGATTATGTGATCTGTGATCTTGTAAGAACCAAAGAACTTACCCTCCGAAAATAATTATTTATCATACCCTGACGCACTATAAGTTTATCTAATAGAATGTGGAATTTTAGCTTGTTTAGAACTTATTAAATTTTATAATTTTGTTAAACATTATCTATATTTACTAAAAGATCTAAATATAAGCAAGATGCTGATAAGTGTTATAATGCCAATAAGATTACAAGAAAATTGTGCATAGCATGACGCTGAATATTATTCTCTATAAAGAAAGCAATATTATCAAGCTATAAATCATCTATAAAAGAGCCGTATCTAATCTCGAATTAAGTCCACAAGTACCTAACTAAACTAACTTTTGCGAGATTTACCAAAGATATTGATCTAATACAAACGTAACTGCTTAGATGAAGAACGCTGATTTCAGAAATACCATAAATAACAAATACTAACAGTGCAAAGAAAGAAACGTCATTAAAAGTGCTTCACGGTATAGTAATGATTATATGGTACGGTTGAGTAATGATTATATGGTTAATGATAATTGTACTTAGTCTGTTGTATCAGAGAATTATCTGCTGGAAACGCGAAAAATGTAGAGGAACATTTAAGACAAATGTAAAAATATAAAGAATAGCTTCGGAATTACTGTATTTTCAATGTTTGTGATGCGTGTGATCGTCAAGTTTGTGCCAAAGAAAGACAGTAGTAATTTATAGTGAGTTTTATACGGTGTCTATAGATGCTTGACTACAAATGTCTCATTAATATCACTTAGATGTATAAATATCCAACGCAACGAGGAGGCTGCATGTAAATAGTGCAGCTATCAATTTAGGTATTTATACTGAGTGTACATAAAAATATATAGTCGTAGTTAAATCCGTCTCAACTTTTTTGAAGTCGAAGACTTCATGAAATAAACAATATGCAGAAATTGACCCGTTGAAAAATTGAAAAACAAAATTCATAGAAATAATTATGAGAGAAATAAATGAAATGTTTTTTCTATCCTTTGAATATATTTTAAGAGCTATTCTGCTAACTTTATATTAATAAATTTTTTATTAAAAAAGTTTTTAGAATATTATTTAAAAAACCGCAAATTATGACGAAATATAATTATACAAATGACAAATATACAAATATAGCTTGAGGAATTATTTTTCTCCTTATTTATTTTAATTATTAAATATGCTTTTATGTTATTAAATATTTTAATATTAATTTTATTGTGAAAATAGTTTGTTTATTTTACTTTGTTGTGAAGAACATATTTAAAAAAAATAAAAATCACATTGTATTGCATATTTCTATGAGTCTTGTATTTCAATGGGTTAAAGTGATCGAAAGAAAATAGATATTAGAGAATGATTACAAATACCTCTTTATCGTGCCAAATATACGCTCTAGTACTTACGTTTGAGATTTCGAGTATTATAGTTTTTCAATAGAAATATAAACGAGATATGATATATATGCATATAAAATTATATAAATATATAATTATAAATATATTATAATTATTTACGATAATTATAAAAATCTATCAATCTCTCTTTTTTAACTCGCTCTTTATACACGGACGATTGTACCATGTAAACAATTATTTGCTTTATATCATATATATAATAATCAATTTACTTCAACGTTCTCAGTTTACCAAAATTTGGTACAAAAATTTCAGTTAAAATAAAAAAAATTAAACAGACAAAATATCCTTAGCGGATCTTTAAATTTCTTTTTTTCATCAGAAACAATATTTGTGCTTTGTATTGAAAGCAATATTTATGATTTGCATTGCGCAAAGTTAAGTTTGAAGTTTTATAGAAAAATAAAAAACTCTAATATAAATATTTATCTCTTTATAGTAAAATTAATTTTATGGAAATTTTTATGAGATGCATATTCTATTGCATACATATAAATTTTGTATCATTATCAATTGCACTTACCTTTTGCAACATACACATTAATGCACGATTATAATTTCTTTTATTTTAAATGTAGAAAAAATGCATCATTATTCCTTAACTAGTATATTTTATATTTATATTATTTATACCTTTTTTATGTATACCAAATTATATAAATCTTAATTTTTTGTGCGTTTAATTATATAACAAAAGTATATAATGTGTTAAAGATGAATTGCATTTTTCATAAATAAATATGTAATAAAAATAAAAGACTCATTAAAATTTATATATTGATTTTAAATAATAAAATTTAATTACTATTTAATTAATAATTACTAATTAATTACTATTTAGTTTATATGTATATATATTTATAAGGTTGTTATACTAGTTAAGGATTATGATTTTGATCTCCAATCGGCATAAAAAATTGATTGTTTGCATATTCAACATATATGTAATTACATTGCACACAAATAATTTATTGTAATATTACATATTACGTGTAACTTGCTGATTTAAACGTTAAATTATTTTATTCAATAGTTTATTATTAATAACTAGATAAATAATTTAATGTAACATGAATAACTACATTAATATTCCAATAATTTTTTAGATAGTCTTGACTGATTTAGACTGGTAATTAAAGATATAATTTTTTAGATAAATTCAAATAAAGAATATAACAAAATAACATTTTTATTTTTTATACATTTTTTATTATATTTTATTACCTAAAAGATTAATTGTTAATATAATATTAGCATTTAAAATTGTACTAAGGTATTTATCTATGAATTTCTTTATTTATAACAATTCAAAATTATAATATTTGTGTTTATTTGTTTTTTATATTTATAATATTATATTTATAATATTTGTAGATCAGATTATTGTAAATCACATATAGAACAAAATTTTTGTATTATCGAATAAATTTATGCAATATCTTTGCAATAACGTATGATTTCATAAAATGTGATAGAAATATTGTAATATTATATTATTGTAATTGAATAATTGCTACTAAGATATAAAACTATAATAACTATAAAATATATTATTTTTATAAATTATTTGCGAATACTTTTGTTCAGAAAATATTTTCAAAAAAAATATAAGGAAACTGTATAAATATATGGTATTTAGATAGTAAATAAAAATAAGTATAAGTAGTAAGTTACACGTAATATTACAATATATATAGAGCTGGACGTAGTTGCGAAAAAACGAACCAATCTTTTAACAAATTATGGATATGTATAAAAAAGTTCAAACTTTTAGAAACTTCGATGAATAGTTGTCTCAACTACGACCACCATAACTATGTATGTGTTCTTACCTGAATTGACAAGACCAGAGATAACACTCGTGCGCTGTAAAATGAGAAAAAAAATTAGAAATCGATTTCATAGCAAAACTATATGTACGAAATAAATTTACTTTTTTTTATGAACAATTATCTACATACTCTCTTGTCAATCTGCTGTCCTTGAACCTTCCGTGCTGATTCCAATAGAACCTTCAGGATTGTCCATCTCTCATCCAACTGGTAAGCACTTATCTATAAACATTTTTAAATATATATATACATATGTAAATTTTATTCTTTCTTTTTTGCAAATATATGAATGAAAATCTTTCTTTTCTGCATTCACACAACACACACACACATTTCGAAAAAATATATATATATATATATATATATATATATATATGTACATATAAATTTACATATAAATTCAAGAAAAACATTTTAAATATTGCATACATTGCGATATACATTCAGACAAAACACATCTGAAAAAGTACAATAATTTCTTACCGATCATTTCTTTGTTCGCCATATTTTTGAATCACATAAGAATATATCACTTGCGATTTCCATTAGAAACTCACTCGCGACATAGCGGAATCGAACCTTAATTCGTACCGAAAATCGCGCACACTACATTATAACACTTTTCTACGTACGAGCTAAAAGCATTTGACACTATTCGAATCGCGTCGCGCATAAGATCACTTTCACGTCTCGCAATTATTACTGAGATCGTAATTATTACGCGAATTAGAAATCGAAGTACATTAACACTCGCGACATCCGCGCGCGTTTGAACTGTTTGAAGTATGACGAGTTGCTCTCCTTTATTCAGCATCGATATACGTGACGTCACGCAAGACTCGATACTTGGACCGAATCGATACTTCGATATACTGCTGCAGCGATCAAAGTCGGCGTACTTCGCGCCTTTACTTTTATGACCAAAATATATTGCATCGAATTCCTATATTATCTTATGCTATAAATTTATGTTCATGAATTACAGAAAATAATTCAGATATATGAAGAAATTTATTATTTACATATAGAACTAGGATAAATTTAAGAAAATTTTTGCCAACAAATTGAGGTTTGGTTTTCGATATCGCGAAGCGAATTATTAATTACGAACATTTATTTGTCGACAAACGAAACGAGAGCATACCTGTTTGAGTCACGTTACGCCCCAATCGCGATTGTTCTGATTACGACGAATAATTACACAAATTTAAATTACGCGAAGCACACCGAAAGTTTCACTCGACACTCAACACGCATTTGCACAAGTATCTGCGCCTGCGCCTACTTCATTACATTCCTATATAAAACGCGCTAAATGATGATAAATTTGAATTTTGTTAGAGAATGCTTTATTTTTCTTATGTCAATTTTAAATCATATCTTTGTCTATGATAAGTATGAAACGCTTCGAATGTTTTTGTATTACAATAATACGTTACATTTACGTGAATTGTCAAACGTGAAATGTCAAATAATTAAAAATAATGTATTTTAAAGCTCAGTATTTTATTTGTATGAATAACTTTCGCGCGAATATTAATTGGTAAAGATGACGCTGACGTCGCAGCAGCGCGATGCGCTGTATGGCACGTGAAAATTGATGTATATATCAAATTTTATCGGAATTTGATGATATCGATACTGATACGCGTGCTTCACTAAGAATAATTACATCCAATTGGTTAATTTAATATTATCATGCTTTTGAGAAGAGTTTAATTTTATATACGACACGTAACTTTATCCCGAGCAGTCTTATAGGTTAATCTTGAAAGTTGACAGGGCAAAAAGATGTATTTTAATGTCTGTCAACGATTGACACGAACTTGTGTCAGACAAATACATACCAGCGCGTCGAGAAATTTAATGAAAAATTATTCTGACGCCTCGTTTAAAAAAAAATTACGCTCTACTACCTTATACTGGACCGGAGTTGGTGTTCTGATAGTTGGATTGAGTTACTCTGCAGTGCCTTTGTACAGGATGTTTTGCCAGGTATACAATTGCTAATTCCTTAAGGATAATTATTAATGTTATGAATTTAGTTTTATTCTTTTTTCAATAAATATTATTGTTATTAGTGTAACAATATTTGCAATATACTATATATATCTTTTGTTAGCTATATTTCTTTTATTATTACAGTCATATAGTTATGGTGGAACAATATCAGCTGGTCATGATGCTAGTAAAGTGACCACAATGTCACCTGTTAAAGATAGGAAGATTAAAATTAAATTTAGTGCGGATACATCGGCATCGATGCTATGGAACTTTAAGCCGCAGCAAATAGAAATTACGGTTGTTCCTGGAGAAACAGCTTTAGCGTTTTACACAGCCACAAATCCAACCGATAAACAAGTTATTGGAATATCTACATATAATGTTTTACCTTTTGAAGTAGGACAATATTTTAATAAAATACAATGTTTTTGTTTTGAAGAACAAATGCTTAGCCCACATGAACAAGTAAGTTTATTAACATCATACATGGAACATAATGTAACAATCTATTTTTTTGTGCATTTAACTAGAAGTTTTAACATTTATCTTAAATATTAAGTTTTTGTCTAATAAAAATTCTGAACATTTGCATAAATATATAATTTATATGATTAAATCAAGCAATGTACTATAAGTTATTTTTGTGTTTTAAGGTTGATATGCCGGTGTTCTTCTATATTGATCCAGAATTCGCAGAAGATCCAAAAATGGAATTTGTTAATGAAATAGTTTTGTCTTATACATTCTTTGAAGCTAAACCAGGATTTAAGCTGCCTATACCAAGCTATGCCAGAAGTCATTCAGTAAAGTAAAATGTAATTATTGTAAATAGTTACTATAATTGTACAGAATAATAAATATTTAATGTTTTTTTTTTCAAATTTTTGAGGGATTGGAAATATCACATAGCCTAAATTTCTCTAGGAGTGTATTCCAAATGATGAAATATTCTCATAAATGTAAATGGCAGTATTCAGAATATGGCACTAACAGAGAACAAGCCATTAAAATCTAAACAATGCGTTAACAGGATACGCGCGTCTAAGACCGCAGACTTTTTCTTTATCAATGTATAGCGCGTCAATTTTAATCGCAAGATCGTGCTCCAACTTGGTTCGAGTTCTTAGTAACTTCTGATGTTGATTCTCGAGTTCTTTCAATGCCTTGTGCATTCTCTCAAGTTGATGATTTATTTCATCAATCTCTTTCTGCAGACTACAAAAAGAAAATAGTAATTTGAAACAATGTCTCACATTCTACAATGCTGTCAAGCTATTAAAATATAATACACACCTTGCATAGGCATAATCGCGACATAATTCCATATCAGGACGATGCATTCTCGCTTCCATTCTTGTATGGGCAACTTTAGTCGCGTAACTTTTGTCAGCAATAGCTTTGCGCATTAATTCCAAATTTTTCTCAACATCGAATATTTCTTGTTGCACCTGTAATATTTCACGAATCACATTTAATTTGAAAAAGTTACGTGCATTAACTTTCATACCTTTTGTAAATGTTGTTGAAGTTTAGTTTTAGCTTCCAGTAATTCAGAAGATCTGTGAGATAAAGCATTATTGGTGGTGCTCCAAGTATTCCACATTTCTTGAGCAACTTTATTGATAAGACTTTCGGCAGTGGTTCGTAATTGGCATGATTTATTTCGTTCTGTTTGCGATCTCTGCACTATTCTATTGACTGCATCTGCCCAGGTTTCTTGTTCCGAAACACTAATCACATAACAGTATGTAGTTATCGTATAATGCTAGAAGTATCATTTACAAATGTCACCATTTATTACCATGGGTCATATTTTTCAATTCCAGAATAATACTGTAATCCTTGAGTGTGATTATTCAACTGATGACAAATAGTATCGATTCCTAAGGCACTCTCTTTATTCTTTAAATCCAGTTCCAATTGATTCTGCGAAGCTCTGCAATTTCGTAACTTCAAACAAAATAATATTAATTAACATGTTGATTTTTAATTAGAGAATTATATAAACATGAAAAAATTAGATAAAATTAAAATATTCAGGCTAAATTTTACCTGATCCTTGCATTTATCCAAACAAGCTTCTAATTTCTTTTGATTTATTCGTAAGTGCTCCACTTCTCGTAGTAAACATTTTTCCGAGTCATCGTGTACCAATTCTGTGCCTAAGAAATAAGAATGAGAGAAATAGAAGATAGTAGAACTCTTCTTACATAATATTGTATACATGAAATAGTTAAGAATGATTCTCTATACTTTTTTTTCTTACTTTTTCTAGCTTCTCTGTGATAAAGACACTCCTCTCCGATATGTAAAGGTCCTTCAATATCTCGTATTGCCTTTTCTAAGACACTTCGACAATCTTGAAGTCTCTCAATTTCTTGAAGCATTCTCTCCAGTTCTGATACCACTTCATTACGCCAAAAGGTAATGTCGTTTATCCTTTCACCAAGTCTTCGACTGGTATCATATTGACCATGTTGTATCTTCTCCTCAGCATCTCTAAGAGATAATTTTGGATTTAGACAATGCTATAGTTTTATATAACATAGGAAATATAAAGAAATAGTCTGAAAAAAAATTACTGTACCTGATAACTCTCAGAGCATCATTTCGCGTTCTCTCAGAATAATGTCTCTGTGAGCTTGATTCATTGTAATATTTTATTTGTTTTTGGAACCATTCATGTGGTGTATATCTCGTATAAAGGGCGGCTTGCGATGCATGAACAGGATTACGTTGATAGCCCATTATCAAATTTGGAAATTTCAACGGTCGTGTACTCATTTTATTATTCGTATCTAGTGTGTAACTTGATATTGACTTTGTAGCCCTGCGAAATAATAATATATGTACTAGTAATTTCGTGTTATTCGTTCAAGAAAAAGATAAGAGAAATTGACAGAAATATGGTGTAGTATCAAAGTTTGTTAGATCAATATTCTGTATATATAAGAAATTTGAAGAGTTACATTTACAACTATTCTTGTAGGAATAATAAAAAAGAAAAGGTGTAAATGAATTTATAGCTAGAAGAGACATTGAAGGTACTTACAGGGGAATAACTTCTGTATTCTCAAATCCAGCATTTGGTCTCCATGGCAGTAAGTTGTGTGTACGGGTGTAATCACCTATACGAATTGGAAAGATTGGTTCCATATAAGGCATTGAACTTCCTACTGTACTCCATGGCTGAAGTTGCTACAAATTAAATTTGTAAAAAATACATTAACTCTAAAGAATTTAAATATTATATATCATTATATAAAATAAGATTAAAGTCTTAGCATATTATTAGAATTATTTATAATACAAAAGTAGTAAAGCCTTTATTATATATTTTATTCAATTTTGAAGCATATATAAAAATGTGATTTTTTTAAATTATTAAAAGAACATTTTTTTAGTTGTAAAAATGATAAAAATTTAATTATAGATGATAACTGAAATCACTTACATAAGATTATACATATAAGAAATTAATACATATACTTATAATATATAATATACATATATAATTATTACTTAAGTAAAAAGCATTTTACTATTATATCTTACATATAAACCAAATTTTTTATTAACAAAACTTAAGTGAAATGAAGAGTTCTAAACATAAGAAAATTTTCTTTAAAAATATAGTAGCACTGGAGTTATATATATATATAAATACAGTACCAGAGAGAATTCTTCTCTCTGACAGTACTTACACTACAAAATTAATATTAAAAAAAAATTTTTCATATGTATATATATATATGAGAAATTTTTTTTATTTTTTTATTTTTTTATTTTATATATATATATATATATATGTTATCTATTATCTATGACCTATGATAATAGTAGTTATGAAGAATCAACATGGCAGATGTACCTAGCGAAGCTCCCGAACGTGAATATATACTTTTTGATATCTTAATTCATTTTTAAAATATATTAAATTAGTAAAAATAACTTAACATTCATTAAGATTACATCATCATTATAATATGTCATTTATCTTGCCTGTGATATGTCAAATATCAAAAGATTCAAGGTTAGGTTAGGTTGTAATAATTATGTTGCAATTTTTATATTTCAAGTTTTTCTTATTTTCTATATTTCTTATATTCCTATATTTTTATATTTATAATTTACATATTTATATTATCTTTTTCTTGTATATAATATTTTATATAATACAATTTAAACAATTTTTTTTGCAAATTATTTTTATTATTTGTTATGTATTTGTAATATTAAAGAAATTAAAAAATATATTTTTAGATTGTCCTGGAACTCAAAGTGATAATGCTGGCAAAGCTTCAGCTTGCGCAGGATGCCCAAATCAATCATTGTGCTCATCTGGAGCCACTAAGCAACCAGATCCTGGCGTAGAACTTGTCAAAGAAAGATTGTCCTCAGTACGGAATAAGCTATTAGTGCTTTCAGGCAAAGGAGGAGTTGGCAAAAGTACTGTGACATCATTGATATCCAGATGCCTTGCGGCAAATAATTCCGAAAGAAATGTAAGTTAAATAAGTTATAACTAATCATAAGTGAAAAACTAAAGTGATGTAATGTTTAAAACATGTTTTTTGTTAAACATGTTGTTGAGAATATAAAGAAATAATTTCTTATATCTTAGATTTATTTTATAAATAAATGCCTTGTATTTATTACATAAATAACAAATCACACTTATAGCAAGATTGAAAAACAAGTTGGTATAACAAACTCACCCTTCTGCCTATTCCAAGTACATCCATGTGATTTTCAATGTACATTCTAACATAGTGAATGCTACCAGTTAGTTTGCTAGGAAATAACCTCAGATAGAATATCTATAGTCAACTAATACCTGTATATATGTATGTCGTATCAACTTGTGCCAGTCTTTTATTGATTATCAAAGTTTTGGTGTCCTAATTCTTTTGCAGTATTTTAAATCAAAATAAATAAAGCAAATATATTAATAAACAAGTGCAAAAAATATTAATTAATTAATTTGTAATATATTGAAATGTTACATTTTAAATTGCATTTTAAACTTTTAATTCCTTTATTTTATGTGCGTAGATTGGAGTATTGGATATTGACATTTGTGGACCATCGCAACCAAGAGTACTTGGAGCACTTGGTGAACAAGTTCATCAGAGTGGATCAGGATGGTCACCTGTAGTAAGTAAATTTGTTGAAACTGGAATATTATGTCCATAATAAAAACTATTATTTAATATTGCATATTATTATTTGGTTTTAGTATATCGAGGATAATTTGTCATTGATGTCAATTGGATTTTTGCTAAGCAGTCCCAGTGATGCAGTTATATGGAGAGGACCAAAGAAAAATGGTTTGTATTTAAAGTTTAATCTTTTTCGATTTTTATTATATTAGTTCTATTTTTTATTCTATATAAATGTATATATATTTTCAGGTATGATCAGACAATTTCTGTCGGAAGTTGACTGGGGTACTTTGGATTATCTTATACTGGATACACCACCTGGTACATCAGACGAGCACTTATCAGCCACATCTTATCTCAAAGGAACCGGCATTACAGGTGCCGTAATCATTACAACACCGCCGCAAGTTGCACTTTTAGATGTCAGAAAGGAAATCGATTTCTGTAGAAAAGTAAACATTCCAATCTTGGGTGTAGTTGAGAACATGAGTATCTTTGTATGTCCTAAATGCAAGGTAAGATTAATAAGATTTAAAGATAATGCAAAAAAAAAAAAATAAATACATAATTAATGGAAAACTTCTTTATATACAGAGTACTGCAGAAATATTCCCAGCTTCGACAGGTGGTGCACAAACAATGTCAAAGGAACTGAATGTAGAGTTCTTAGGCTCGATACCTCTGGATCCATTGCTAGCCAGATGTTGTGATGAGGGTAAAAATTTTGTAACAGAAATGCCGGATTCACCAACTGTTAGTGCTTTAAATAAAATTTGCAAACGTAAGACAATATATTATGTAATATCATCTAACTTCTTTTTACATAAGACGCCAAAAAAATTATTTTGTGTATAATTTTTCAGGTATTGTTCAAAAATGTGAAGAAGAAAAAGAGAACTGTCCTAATAATTCCATGCAAAATATGTAAATACATTTTTTGTATAAAAATTTATATACAAATGTACTGTTTGTTGCTGATTAAAATCTACGATAAAAATCTAAAGATTTTTTTAAATCAATTATAATACAACTTTTTTTGATTGCTTTGAGTAATGTGATTTTCAATTCAATAATATAGTAAATGTTCACAATTTCTCTATCTATAGTTGCTTGTTAGAACTATCTGCAACATCCTCTTATTATCATACTGACAATGAGTAATAAGGGAATTTGATAAGCTATGAAAAACATCAAGAGTTGAATTATAAAATGCTGTGCGCTGCGAAGATATCGGACATTGAACTCTGATTCAGCTGACCGATGATTTATGACAGAGATGTTTCGTTTGTCAAATTCAAATTTGACGTGCGAATACATAGTACTGGTGATAATAGATTAACAACAAAACAAATTAGATTAAATATTGAATTAATAATAATAGTTTCTATTCTGCTTCATTTTTTACAAATGTATTCGAATTTTCAATAATAAGAGAAAAAAATCCAAACGAATAACATGAAATGACGCATGCGAATGATACATGATGCGCGTAAATACAGTTGCGCATTTTATTATGTGTCATGAGGAGAGACAGTCGGACGGTTCGGAACGCAGAGTTCTCTGATAATAATTATTAATGTAAGTTTTGTGTAACGCAGATATACGATGCGACAAAAATATTATTTATTGAAATAAAAAAACGCCTATTTATATAGTGCGATTTTAATAGATTACAGAGAGGTTAGGATTTAATATTTTAGAAACAATATTTTTATATTTGTATGTATTTAGAATCAAAAATAAATTTAAAAATACATCTTTTGCGTAAGACAAGAATTCATATATTGTTAAGATAATAAAATGTTTATTTTTTTTATTTTTTTAAAGTAATTTATTAATAACAATTATTTTGTGTACAAGTAGATTCTTATATAAAATGTGCTTTTAACATCTTTACTATTTTTAGCTACAACTAGGTAAAAACTGTGACGGTTTTGATATATGATATTTGATTTAAAATGATTGATGTAGCAGCAAGTGGGCACAAAACCCCTAAAAATCAGAGAGGGATAATTCAGTGGTAAAAAATTACTCAAATAATATTGTGACAGAAATTGATAATTGTGCAATTACAATGTCAAATAAAGGATCTTACAAACCATTAACAAAAAGCCATGAAAGAGAAGATGCACACTATCTCGAGAATAATAACGAGAATAATGCAAATAGTATAAGATTAAAGCGATTAATGATAATATTATCCTTTGTGTGTGTTGTGGCTTTATTTCTGTGCCACCTTAGTTTTCCATTTTATCTAAGATTACAAATTCAGTAATCACCACCATGAATAACTATAATGTAGAAATACGGTTTACGATTTTTATGCCTGATAATACTACCGAAAATGAAGAATCTCAGCATATATTAATGGATTCTTTTGATATACACATTGCACAACAAAAGTATGATTATAAAATAATATCTTTAAAAGAAGAAAATTCATTTGAACAAAACACTTTTAATAATGCTGAAGTAAGTAAAAGTAAAAAAAATTTTTGTTCCTATAAGAGACAATTTATTATATATTCTATTTATATATCATATTAATTTGATGTTTAAAGCAATGCACCAATGTTCCTGAATCATTACGCTTTGATTGTCATCCAGAGGATGGAGCATCGCAACTTTCCTGTACAGACAGAGGATGTTGTTGGAATCCTCTTGATAGAAAAAAAATTGCAGGACGTGTACCACTATCTATTCCTTACTGTTATTATCCTGAGGAATGGAATCTGTATAAATATATTAACCAAAGTAGTGATGGTAGCAATTTCTTAGGCTTTCTCAACCAAGAGAAAAAATCTATATACAAGAATGATGTGCCTCTTGTAAAGATTGAAGCTTCAAGCATAGACAGTTCAATTTTGCGTGTAAAGGTAATAATATATTTATAAAAGATTATATTACATTGTAATGTAATAAGAAAACAATTATGAAATACTTTTTTAGATATATGATCCCTTGAAAAGCCGATACGAGCCACCATGGCCACTTAGATCAGATCCACAACCATTTTTATTTAAAACTAGTGATACAGCATATCACTTTAAAAGTGATAATGTAAAACCTGGCTTTAAGATTGATAGAGTCAGTGATGGCACAACATTGTAAGTACATATTTGTTATATGTTCATAGAGTCATAGTTTTAAAGTTTTAGTAAATTTGCATAGATCAAGTTACACAGTTTTAATGATAAATAAAATATGAATATATTATTTAGTAGTATTATGTTATAATATATATTCTATATGTAGATTTAATTCTATTGGGATTGGAGGTTTCATATTTGCTGATCAGTTCCTGCAAATAACCACTTTGCTGCCAACGAGCAATATTTATGGTGTTGGCGAACACAGATCAAGCTTAAAATTAAATACTAATTGGCAGTCATTTACTTTATTTAACAAAGATCAACCACCGACAGAAAACGTATGTTGCTTAATTTAAATTTACATACAAATGAGTTGATACAGTATATTGCAAATATTCTATACTATAATATTTCTTTTATTTGTTTCTTTAATTAGGCAAATTTATATGGATCTCATCCATTTTATATTGTTGTTGAGGATTCTGGAATGGCTCATGGAGTTTTATTTTTAAACAGTAATGCTATGGGTATGTTTTTTTTTTTTATAGTATATTATATGTTTTATTATTTTAAAATAGTTTAAATATTTTATATCTTTTAGAGGTGATATTGCAGCCTACACCGGCATTAACATTTAGGACAATTGGTGGTATTTTTGATATCTACTTTTTCTTGGGACCAACCCCAGCCGATGTGGTGAAACAATATTCAGAAATTGTAGGCAAACCATTCATGCCACCTTATTGGTCCCTTGGTTTCCATTTATGCAGGTACTATATCACTTAAATTTATTTAATATATATTAAATATATTTAGTATATATTTAATATATATTTAATATATGATAAATAACCAAATTCTGTGTATTCATCAGATTTGGATATGAAACCTTGGACAAAACTAGAGCAGTATGGAATAGAACGAGAACAGCCGGAATTCCATTTGTAATGTTTGCTACTTTATAAAACACATTTTAAGATATGTAAGAAAATTATAAATTATAAATATTGTGTTTATTATATTTATAGGATACCCAATGGAATGATTTGGATTATATGGACAAAAACAATGACTTTACATATAATAAAGAGAAGTTCAAAGATTTGCCCAAGTTTATAGACGAAATTCACTCGGTATAATATATTAATGTACAATATTCACAAAAGATTATGACACAATCCGCAAAAATCGCAAATATATCACAGCAATTTTTCTTATTTCAGGTAGGAATGCATTACATTCCTTTAATAGATGCTGGCATATCTGCTGCCGAAGAAAGTGGTTCTTATCTACCTTATGACGAAGGAATGAAACAAGATATATTCGTAAAAGACGGTATAACACATAAACCTTTCATTGGCAAAGTCTGGAATTTGGTCTCCACAGTATGGCCTGATTTTACAAATCCTAAAACGATAGAGTACTATGCAAATATGATGGGCAATATGCATGACAGTTTTGCGTACGATGGCGCATGGATCGTAAGTTTTGACTGAATTAAAATTTTTTTTAAATTACACGATTACTCAAATTATTTTAATTATATATTAAGGATATGAACGAACCATCAAACTTCTACAATGGTCATAAGAACGGCTGTACGTATAACAATCTGGATTATCCCGAATATGTACCCAATGTTGTCGGTAATTTACTCGCTACGAAGACTCTGTGCATGAATGCAAAACATTATTTGGGTTCTCATTATAATCTTCACAATACCTATGGAACTAGTCAAGCGATTGCAACAAATTAGTAAATAGAAATATAATTTACATAATATATAATTTATATAATCTTCCAAATTTTACAGAGAGTCTAAAAATATATCATTTTAAACTATGTGCAGTGCCCTGAGGAAGATCAGACAGAAAAGACCATTTATAATTTCGCGTTCAACATGGGTAGGACACGGTCATTACGCGGGCCATTGGACAGGCGATGTTTATTCATCATGGTAATTGCAAAATCAGGATATATACTTTCGGGAAAAATCTTTAAAATCTAATATTCTCAGGAAACTTTGTTTAATCTTAAAAAATCAAGGAATTCTCATATGATTTAGATTCAAGGAATTTTTTTAAAAACTTGTTAATTTTATTTTTCTTTTATTAGCACTTAAGAAATGTTTATCTAATACACATCTTGGCAATATTTAAGTTTTTATTAAAATTTTATGTGATTTTTTACAATCTATTTTTAGTATTGTTAAGATCTTGTACAAATTATAGAGTGATAGCAGAAAAGACCCATTTTATAGGGTCGAATTTTGGGACCTCAAATTTTAAACTTTTTTTATGCCAAATAGTACTTTATGATGAGACATTAATCCCAGGGAAATTTCAAGATGAGCATAGGTATGGTTCTTTAGATATGAAGAAGCGAAAGTGATAATTTCTCATAAAACTGACTAAAAATCATCACTTTCTCCCTTGTATCTCCAGAACCGTGCCTATGCTAATCTTGAAATTTTACTGGGATTAATGTTTTCATCTAATAGTACTATTTGCCATGAAAAAAAAGTTTGAAATTCGAGGTCCCAAAAAATGGGCGAAATTTGCCATCACTCTTTTATAAAAAATTGTTGAAATTTTTTATTTTTTTATTTTTATCAGGGAATTTTTTTACAAAATTTGAGTAGACACTTTGACAATGCATTTAGTTATATTATTATACTTTTTTATTTACTAATTAAAAAACTTTTAGGCATGATTTAAGGATGAGCATTCCGGCTATTTTATCACTCAACTTCTATCAAATCCCAATGGTAGGCGCTGACATTTGTGGTTTTGATGGAAATACAACTGCAGCATTGTGCAATCGCTGGATGCAACTTGGTGCTTTCTATCCATTTTCTCGAAATCATAATTCCGACAGTACAATTGTAAGGAAATGCCAAAATATGAATTAATAATAGAGTTCTAGAAATATTTCATTATAATATAATGTATAAATATGTTTATATATTATATACAGGAGCAGGATCCAGTTGCTATGGGCGATTTAGTTGTACAATCGTCAAAGAATGCTCTCAGAATACGTTATCGACTTCTACCGTATTTGTATACCTTATTCTTCAGAGCACATAAGTTTGGCGAAACAGTAGCGCGTCCGTTATTTTTTGAGTATGTATCAATATTTTGTCCCATATATGTATATCCTATATTGTACTAATAATGTGCGTGATATAGGTTCATCAATGATCAACAGACTTATGACATTGATACGCAATTTCTTTGGGGAAGTGCGCTTATGATTAATCCAGTTCTTGAAGAAGTACGTTTTCCATCTCTAATTATTCATTTTATATTTACATATAAAATACATCGATATTTTATTAATATAATTTATACCTTGCAGAATAAAACGAATGTAGCTGTTTATATACCACGTGGCCTGTGGTATGATTATTATAGTCTTCATTTCTTCTTTTCTATTGGAAAACATTATACATTATCCGCACCGATCGATAAAATACCATTATTGATTCGTGGAGGTTCGATACTTCCAGCACAGAAACCGGGTGTAACGACGACAGAGAGCAGAAAGAATAATTTTGAATTGATAGTAGCATTAAGCGAAGCTGGAAATGCTACAGGAGAACTGTATTGGGATGATGGTGATAGTATAGGTAAAAGATAACTTATATATTGTACAATTAAATGGAGCCTGTTATATCTTGATATGATCTTACTTTTTTCCTAATCTACAGATTCGGTAAAAAAGAAGGAATATTTGTGGTTATCTTTCTCTGCAATGAAATCTAAGAATGAGTCATCCTGGACATTACTAAACACACAAATAAATCGTTCTTTTAATGAAGAGGTGATTCTTGCAAAAGTTCAAATTTTGGGATTACAGAAACAAGTGTCCAAAGTACTCCTAAATAAGAATGAGATAGGATTTAAATACGATACTTTTACATCTGTAAGTTTTATACTGAATATAAATGTTTAAGAATAATAGCAAAAAATATTTTAGTTAAAGAAAATATATGAATTTCAAAATATTTATAAAAATTATTTCAGAGTCTGAGTATCACTGGCTTGCAAGTGGACATGAGGCAATTATTTGTATTTAATTGGTATTAATAGCTCAATGAAAGCAGTGATAAACGATACTACTAATTTTATATAAATTTATGATCACATGTGTAAATCTCATAGTGTAATAATTAATATATATATATATATATATATATATATATATATATATTTGAGGTAAAAACATATTTACGTTACTAGATATTATATATAAGTGATAGATATTTTAAGATATTTTAAACATATATTTTACAATATATATATATTAAATATTATACTTTGAAGTATATATTATATTTTGAGATATATATTTCCTCATTTGATAAAGTGTGAAACTAAACACTGTTTATATAATTGTGGAATAATACGTATAAATTAATTTTTAATAAAGACGAGCGAGTAAAGAAACATGTTTATTCAAATTGTCTTCTTTCATCATACAGTATACATATATAAATGACTATTGTTTATGGCACTAAAAAAACAATAATGTACTAATTTTATCGATGTTGCAAAAAATACGAGAAAAATCTATGATTACAATAAAAATGTAATTTTGTGGGAAAAATTATGTACAATATAAAGTCCGCAAAAAAATGTAGATAACGTGAACCACAATTATTTTCGCGAGCATAACTTATTCGCTTTGGCACCACATAGCTTAAAGTTATCGAGGAATATAGTTGATGTGTCGAGTCAAGAAATAAGGGAAGCCACGCGTCTTCCATTGACTATTCAAGACGACTCTTTGACCTCGATCTATATTCAAAATGCATTACGACCCTTATTTGCATTTGCGCGAGCCAAAGCGTAAAAGATTTCGATCTTCCGAATAAATTTGAAAACGCAAGTCACTGCACGCTCATGTTAATACATTAAGGTGCGTCACACGCATATAAATACGCGCCGCTCGTACATATATGATGATTCTTGTTTTGCGAACGCACAATGCAAAATATATCTCGTTACATTAGCTGCTAATAATAAAATTGAAATTATATCAAACGTAACGTAACGGTAAATACACAATATATTTGGCAATGAAAAAAGTAACAAAGTCTTTGGATTCGATACCATATTGCGATCGTCTCGCGTACCAAAAACGAATTGTACAATAAATTTTCAAATTTCGGAGGACTACATTGCATAAAATAGCACCTGCACGTCGATTGCAGTATATTTTTCACTATTCTTAGTCGTACGTACGATTGAGAAATTATTCTAATGGTAGGTCGAGGAAAGGAACTCTTTGCGAACACACGAGCGACTAACATTATTCAATTCTAAGAATATAAAGTTATTTGTTTTTTATTTTATGCACTAGCAACAATCATCGTTTGTAAAAAGAACTATTTATGTATAAGATAATGAGTTTGTGTCATTGCACGTAATTATATTTTTTTCATTGATCACTTTTCCGCAATTTTTGGCATCTTTAGAATCAAAATAAGATATGTATCGTGTTCCTCTCCCCTCGCAGCCATATTAATTTATATACATGTATTTACAGAGTATATCGGAAATTATAATTAATTAAATTAGTCTGATCGAAATAAGACGATTTCCTTATGTGAAATATAAAATGAATTTTTTGTACATTATTAGCTTTCCAGCTTTTAAAGACTTAATCTTCTTGATAACAAAGTTTTGTGTGAAAGAATTTTATTCCGTATGTTTTAACTCATTTTTCCACAAAAAATCATAATTCGATGTTCGATATACCCTATATGTGTGTATATGGATATAATATATATCTTTTTCTCAATGACTAATATACTAATCTTGCAATCTTCGTTCATTATTGTCTGTTCACATTTACTTAGGACTATCTAAAGACGGCAATGGCACAACACGCCAACATGTTTGCTCATCCGTGGCTAATCAAGCCATATCGTTAATTGCGCGCGAGCGCAATGATGTAAGAATGAGATAAATAACGAATAATAGTGTCAACTACAAACGAGAACGCCACGCAGAACCGTCTTACAATTAATTTTCTAGGCGTGCCCGTGAACACATAACAAAAAATCTCATAATATAATATTCAATTTATAAATATGTGTATATATATAATAGATATATATGTGTATGTGTATTTTTATAAATATGTAAGGATAATAACGATTGTATGTGTGAAAGAACATAATTACGAATGACTCGTAATAGCCTCGTTTTTTTTTGGTATACGGTATATAACGAACAGTCGTGTCTGCTTATAATTGCGATAAAATGTAAGTGCAAAAATGCAAGCCTCCGCCGTATTCTTTACTAATGTGCACATTTGTATGTATGTATGTTTTAACAAATATGGCAAGAGAACATCTAACTCTACATCAGTCGTGTAAAATCGCGTAAAGGAGCGCGGTGCCAGGATTTATTTTTGTCGTGTGAGAAAAACATGTGTATGTTTTCTTCGTATCTTTTTTTTTTAATTCAACAACGCGCTGCTCTTCGTTAATTTACTTTACGTTATAAATAAAATGACGAATTTATATTTTATATTTAGCTTCTAAGCAATACGGTATATTGACTGGTTTAGTATGGCAAGTATTACGACACATGGCACCACAGGAGATTATTTAACATATTTGTTAATTATTATAGATTATATATATATATATCACACGGAAAACGGTGAAATGTTACGCATTTTCCAATTTCAAGCGGTACAAAGAAATCTAAGAAGAAAAAAACAGAGAGAGAGAGAGAGAGAAAAATATATATACGCGCGATTTCAATCTATAATCTATTGCCTTGATTGTTTCATCCGTTGAATGATTAAAAATGATCCATCGGTCCTTTATAGTCCTTGCGTGCGAAAGAATTTATTATTAGTCTATTATTATTAAGAATGAAGATGTAAAGATCAATCAACCGTCGCAATTTTCTATTTCATTTTCTAAAAGATTTTTCTCTCCTGTTGAACTAGAAAAAATGTAAAGATTTTTAAAATCTATACATAAATCTCGTGAAAAAATGAATGTAACATTAAAATAAAAATATCGAAATATTAGAAAAGAGATAATAATGGATATCGAACTGTAAACGCTAAAATTTTGATGTAATTTTTTCATATAACTAGAGAAAGAATGCACAGAAAAAAAGACACTTGTTGAAACATTCCATCGTTCATATAAACGCGTGCGAGATGATTTTACTGTTAATCTGATTTTTTGCTATTTTGTAAATTTCACGCCGACAGGAAGATAATAAAGTTATTGTTAGCAAGCGTGTGTGTATATATATATATATATATATATATATATATATATATATATATATATATATATATATATTTACGTAGCCGTAAGCACTTCCAGAATATCCTCGGGCGATTTTTTCATCCTACGGAAATTCTCCCAGTGCTCCTTCGGGACCGTCCATTCCAGGAAGAGTTCCAGATTTCGGGTGAGAGCCTCGAGCTCGGACAAACCATCTCCCGTGACCGGTTCTTTACCAGCGGACACAAGAGAATCCTGGAGAACGTCGTCGATGAGACGTTTACCGAAGCCGAGCTCGTCCAATCGTTCCTGCTTGCTGATCCTCTTCAGCAACACCGCTAACAGCAGCCGCATCTTCTCCACTGTCATCAACTTATACTTCGCAGTGACCGAGTTCTTCTCGACGATCTCGGAGCCGCAGATCGGCTTGCCTGCGGTACCGCTACTGTCGTCCTCCACTTCCGTCTCCGGATGACAGGTCTTCTCGTGGCTCTCCAGGTCGCTCTTGATCCTAAAGAAACTCTTGCAACTTTTACAGCCGTACGGATCGTTCCTGCCATGTATGCACTTCATGTGCTTCTTCCAATGTGGCAGCTGAGTGAAACCAGCGTTGCACTCGGAGCACTTAAAAGGTCGTTCACCGGTGTGACGACGGGTGTGTAGTTTTAGGGCAGTCGAATGAGCGAAAGCTTGCCAACAGACGAGACAACGAAACGGTCGCTGACCGGAATGGGTCCTCTGGTGCACCGTCAGCTGGGACTTTTGGGCGAATCGCTGGCCGCACGTGGCGCAACCATGTGGACGATCACGTGCATGCGTCCTCATGTGCTGCGGTAGATGGCCCTTGAAGGTTTTGTTGCAAATTGCGCAGAGGAACGACTTGACGTCACGGTGCAAGCACTCCAGGTGCTTCTTCAGGGCGTCACGGCGCACGAAAGCGCGTCCACATAGATCGCACTTGTGATCCTTCTGGCCGTTGTGACGTTTCACGTGCAGCGATAGATTGGCCGCGCAGGTGAAGCTGTTGGAGCACAACCCACAGCGAAACGGTCTGACCTGGCTATGGGTGCGACGATGCTGCACCAGTTGACCGCCTCGCGCGAAGCTCTTATCGCACTCCGGACACTTGTACGGCTTGAAGCCGGTGTGCGTGCGCACGTGCAACTTCAGCCGTTCCTTCAGCGGAAATTCCTTGCCGCACTCGTCGCACTTGAACACCGGTCCGGCGCCGTGCACCACCTTGTAGTGATTCCGCAGACCACCGCTACCCTTAAAGCGCGCCTCGCACACGACGCAGCAATACTTCTTCTGAGGATTCTGGTCCTTCACCTGCGTAGTCTCCTCGGTCTTCTTTTTTTTCTTCTTTTTCTTCTTCATCACCTTCTTCGTCTCGACAGAGTCGCACAGAGAGCTGTCGCTGCTCTCGGCGTTTATTGAGGCGATAGTGGAGGAGTTGCTGATATTCTCCGCTATTTTGAGTTTTTCGGAATCGACGACGTTGTTGTTCTCGCGCTCCAACAGGTAATTCGCTTGAATGATAGCGTCGATCTTCAGTCTGAGCTCTTTCTCGGAATTTTCCTTCTCGACAACTTCATCGACGTTGGACGTCTCACATTTTTCACCGTTCTTAGCAAAATCTTTCTTTCGCCGAGCAGCTCCGTCGAACAGATCGCCATCCGTAGTGGAGTAATCCTTCTCGCTAAAGTCCTGTTGGATCTCGGGATCTCGGATTGTTCCTGATTCTTCCGGTTCTGAGTTTGAACACGGATCCAGGGGTTCTCGTCTGTATACGTATACTTCGTCCTTAAAACATTCTCTGTTATCCAAGTCCAAGTACAGCTGTTCGTCGACGTCTTCTTCTTCGTAATCGGGCGCGAACGCTTCGTCGCATCCGGCTGGATTCTTCCTGATCAATTTCTCGTTCGTTCCACAATCGCCGTCATCATCCTTCCTTTTACTCGATTTTGCCAACTTCCTCTTCGACGCTTTCACGGGACCATTTTTCTTGCCGCCTCGCGTTTTCTTCGCGTTCTTCCCTGTCGCCTCGTCGTTAGTCTTCTCTTCATCGGAATCTACATCTTCAGTATTGTTCTTGAGCTCGTCCGTTCGCCTTCGACGAGCTTCCGATCGTCGATGCTTGCCGCTTTGACGTTCCGACTGCTCGAAGTTGTAATCTCGCAACTCGAAGCTCTCGCAATCACCTGAAAAACTTCTGAGCGCTTTCAGAGCGTCGGTCGCGTCGCCGTCCTTGAAGATATTCTCCCTGATGCGTGATTGCTTCACTGGCAGCAATTCGGTCAGCTGAACTTCTTCCTGCGGCTGCTCGGAACCGGCTATCTGGTTCAAGACCGTTTGCTGCTGCATGCTGATCATTGCCACAGGCAGCGCGATCGCGATGTAACGCCTCAAGAGACTTCGACGCTTGACTTTGATTATCTCAGCATACCGTATGACGTGTCAATTGCTCGCCTTTAGATAACTCGCATCAGTCATCACTTTTCTACCCTCGATCAAACTCGTAAACACGTCTTACTACCCCGAAGAACTACGCCGATAGGTAATTGAAATCGTATTTCTATATACAATAGATAAGTTGAGATCAAATTTTCTATAGAGATAAATCTCGAGAGTCCAGAAAAAAATCGCGATTGCTCGACTTCTGAATTTATTACGCTAATTAATTCACTTCCATGAAACCGCCAGGCATCGATGTCGCTTCATGTCGTGCGATCGAATCCGAGAGGAAAAAAGGCGACAGCGTTATCAGCGAAACGTTTGACGAATTCGATTGAATCCGGATATATTAATCTTCGTTACTCTAATGTGTGCCTAATAACCGCACCGTGGTATCGTCAATTCCGAACTAGTAGCGACGCGGTTGTTCTCAAAGAAAACTCGGGGATTCGTCTTTTATCGGCGCGAACGGCGGCGAGGTCAGACTGAGAAAGCGAGAGAGAGAGAGAGAGACCAAAAGGGGAGAAGAGAAGAGACCGCACATATATATATATATATATATATGCACGCGCACACAGGCGCGTTTGTAAAGCGCGGGTTCGCTTATCGCGCTCTTATCGTCCCGATATACCTCGCCTGCCCCGTTCCCCTCCCCTCCGCCCGCGCCGGTTTTTCCCCGTCGGTGACGATTTCGGACGCGATGCCGAGCGGAGTCGAGCTCACCGCGAGATCGCGCCCGGGCAGGGCAGCTCCCGGAAGTGCGGGCCAGTGCGGGCGTTGGAATCACCGTGTCGTAACAGCGGGGCCCTGCCCTGGCCTGGCCTCTACCAGACGGAAGTCGTTTCCCGGGCCGGCAGCCCGTTCCTCGTCGGCGCGACGATCGACTGACGTCGGGGAACGAGAGGTTCCTCTTCCTCTTTCGACGCTGAGGACGCCGCTGCTCTCTTGGAGCGCGATTGCGCTCGCGCCTTTTTCCACGCAAGCGCAATCCTCGGTCGATATCAGCCCGATGTGCACCCCTCCCGACGGGGGCTCTTCTCCCTCTCGTCTTTCCTTCTCTCGTTCTCTCTCTCTTTCTCTTGCCCTCGTGTGTCCGCTGAAACTCCTCTCGACCCGTCGCTCTTTCTGCGTTCTTCCAGACGGATCCTCGGCCTCCCTCCGCGCGATTGTCAGCGCAACCCTTCCTTTCTTATGTCTATGACCTCTCACCTTTTTCACCCTGGCATTCGCCTACTCGTCGCAGCATTTATCGCCTGCTTCACTTCGAAGTTAATTCGTTCTCGGGGATTCCTCGATAAAGTCCGCACATTGGAAATGTGTGCTCCGCGCGACTTCCCCGTCTTCAGCATTCATTGATTTTAAAGTATAAGCGGCGCGTTCGAGTCTCCCTACGGAATACGCTTATTTAGAAACTGTTGTGGTTTTGGTATACAATTTATTGACAACTTAAATTCTCCATTCCTCCGATCGATCATCAATTTTCCAATAATTAAACGTATCTTAACTGTTAGTTACACCGCAATTGTACGAGATTCGTTTAACATCAGGTATCAAAAGATTTAGAAGATAACGAAAATTTATTTACCTCGAGCCTTTCAGGATTTTATCTTTGACTGATCGGCTTGTTGTTTTCAGTCTCTGGAGTGATAGAAGGGTCCATAGAAATCAACAATGCGTTGGTCCTCTCGCTGCATCCACTCGTGCGGAGATAAAGATGAGCCGTCCTTCTGAGCGAAAGGGAATCCTTTCGCTAAAATACGTTGCTTCCTGCGATCGCTGAATGGAAACGCTGACTCGACCAACACCGCATCGATGTTACCGGGGAACTCGATCAACCCGTCGCAATTTTCGAGTCGTCGTCCGCGTCGAATCGATATCCGGCCCGATATGCGTTTCGCAATTATGTTGATCGCCTTTTTTCAAGATGTTTTCTCAGCTAATCTGCTTACGCGCTTCCTTTTCATTTATCCCACTTAAGCGTAATCTCTCTAGTACTTCGATAACACGATACCTCGAGCGATGAAATCTTGCGGTCCTTAATTATCTTATCTAATTAACTCAATATTGATAAAAAAAAAAAAAAAACGATGACTTTACTCAGGTTTTGATCTCCCCAATGATTGTTTGCTTTTTCTATCTCGTTACTTGATTGCAGGCGATGGAGCAGATACAGGAACTTATAGTATAAGATCGATTTTTCTTTGGTATGATATCACCAGCGCGACGCCTCTCGAGAGGAGGATGACCGTCGAGATTCCTCTGTGTGTGAATCAGCTCGGTTATCTGGTTCTATATTTACACGCTTTGGTTTCGTTACTCGTATATTATGTCGATCCTTATCTCCGAATAATCGAAGATTTTCTTGTGCTCGCCGAGTTATATATCTCTTCTTTCTTTTCCCTATCTCTTTGACTAGACGTTGACGAAGAGTGAAGTATGGGTGTTAGCGTGTTAATTCCATTTCGAGAGAAAACCGACATGAATTTGTGCACATGTTAATATGTTTTAGCCACTGCGTATCCCGATGAAATCCTGAATAGCAAAAAAACCGGAGAAACCCGCCACCATCTGAAAGAAATTAGAACCACGGAGGCAATTCTTTACTAGTTCCAATTAGATATGTTAAATTATACGTCCTATTAATTATAAGTAGTGTTGCTTATGTTTACAGATGTTAGATAAATACAGAAAAATTTGTTACGATAAAAAATAAGGCACTTTAACAGTTACGACAATTAAAATAGAATTAAAATAAATGAATAAAAGTAAATAAATTAAGTAATTAGTTTAATAATACATAGTTTAATATATAAATTTATCTATTTACAATATTATTGTCAAAAATATAATGAAGTGATGATTTTTAATTAGATTTCTTTTGTTATGAGATTCTCACTAATATCGAAAGCATTTTTTATTTCAACTTTGATGAGTATGGCATATATATATATATATATATTTATATCAGTATTTTAGTATTTTAGTAGGGATGAAAATACAAATAGCAAATTAAACTTTAATACATTATTATATCAATAATAATATAATATAATACTATATTTGATATAATATAATACTATATCATATTAAATACCATGTGATTAGTTTTTTTAAATTTTGATGTGAAATACATCAGTAAAATATAAATCGAAAATAAAATATTTAAGTATTTTCGAATATAGAAAATATAATTAAGTGAAGTAAAAATAAAACAAGCAAGGGCAATGTCTCTTATATTGATATATAGGATGTTCAATTAGTAGCAATAAAGTTACAATTAATTAACATATTATTTTATCAATTTATCGATTTTGTTAATCGACTCGATTTTGATATAAAAATCAGCAATCATAATATTAATATTATATGGAATAAATTTCAGAAAAAAAAAATTAAAATAAATTCTTCTCAAAGCTTCAGTCAGTGAGAAATCTTCGAGTTTATCAAATTTTTAATATTTTTAAAGCAGAAATGATCGAAAGCTTTTACATTGTGAAAAAGATAAAGCATGCGAACCCTATTGAAAGGATCATTAATACTTTATACAGTTGACGATGGGACACCTTGTATACGCGGAGGCATTGATCGCGGAGGGCATTTACATCGCGCGATTGAAAGCTCGCACCACCTTTATACGTGACCCGATCTGCTAACCGCGCCGATCAATTTTTGTCACCATCGTTGACGACGTGTGCGAGGCGCTTGTGAGAGAAAAGTGGAGCAACCTGAGGAGTGCGGCATGGCTAACGATGAGAGAAATATAAAGCGCGCCTCGCTCTAGGGTGATGCTTCGTTAACAAAATTGCATCGCACTTGGCACACGCAACTCGAGAAGATATTAAGATCTTTCGCTAACGCGTTTTACAGAAAAATTTTTACATTTATGTTTAATACATTCAATTTATATTACTCCAAATGTCTGACGTTTAATTCAACATTTAGCATTAATAAAATTAGATATTTATCTATAAAATTTATAGTAAATAGATAAATGTCTAATATATATTATACATTTATATCAAATATACAATATTTATATTATATATTATAGATATTTAAAAAAATATCTAATATATTATACATTTATATATTAATTATATACTATATTTATATTATATATTTTATATATATTAATAAATATCTAATATATATTATATATTATGTATTATATATTCTAGATAAATTTTTAATATATTAAATATTATATAATCATTTGAGATATAATAAGAAAGACAATAAAGTATATATAGTACTTGGCTCGAAATCTAAAGTCTATAAAGCTTGCCCAAAAACTAATTGCAAATTATTCTAATTTTCATCTCATTACCACAACAAACTTGTTTTTCAAAATTATTCTCCGCACACGATTTCAAATATATTTCCTCGAGTAACTTTCCTCGCAGCTCGCCGGAGCTCGCATTCAATAATATCTTCTCTCTCGCGTACATAGATTAGGCTCGCAGCTTACGATACACGCATACACGCACACAAACACACACGCGCGCGCGTTGCTCCCATTTCTCGTCGACGCGTTCTATGTGACACGGATCTGTGCGCATTGAACTTACCGAAAGGCATCGGGGATCGCGAGATTTCGTCGGCGCGGCGTGGCGCCGAAGCGCGCGATGTAGTTAGTTACCCGCGGCCGCCGCCGACAGGTGCGACGCGCACACGTGACGTATATACATATATATTCGGCAGGGCGGCAAAGAACGGCCGTCTTACTCACCGTAGAGTCCGACTCGAGCGGGCGGGCGGCCGTCTCCACCCGGGAAGAGGTTGCCGATAGCGAAGCGTGTCTCCGACCCTACCCTCCGGTCGCCATCTTCGATGGCGCTTCAAGCTCCGTCGAGCTGAAGCTGAGCCGCTGAACCGCGCCGTCCCGGCGGAGAGCTCGAGCCTCGAGGGGGGTGAAGTCGCGACGACGACGACGACGTCGACGACGATGTTATAGTACGACGACGTGACGTCCGATGGCGCGAGCAGCTTCGATGACAAGCAACCCTAAAATTTTAGATCTTTTGTATTTATTGTATTAAAATATTTAATTATTATTATTATTGTTTTATTATAATAAAATTATTTTTTTTGTATTTATAATTTTTTCTTACGCAACCATAAAAATGTACATATCGATCTTTTTTAATTTATTCTTTTTCCCATTTTCGATAATTGGAACGCTTAGAAATCGAATCTCGAGTCTTCAAAGAACGGGAGTTACGTGTCGCTGAGATACAGAAAATAGAGTATAATTATGCGTTATTTTTGAAATTAATATATATACTTTCACGAGAATTTTTCAATTTTCCATAGATCGATTAAATTACTTGAAAAACACACTTACACGGTTCTCTTTTATATTATTTTGGATGAAAACACAGGCTTTGTCTTCTGTCAATTTAATTTTTGTTGAAAATGTTATAATTTATAATTCTTTTTATGAATACACACCGAACGAAGTGCACAGGAAAATACGAAGGTGTAATAAAGCTATAGATGCGCGCAGTGCGGCGATTTAGAGAACTACGTATTCGGTCGATATAACAAGTATCTGCCATATCATTGGTAGATAAAGTAGATTCCTGTCAGCCGCGAGCAAACAAGACTGATTTTATTTATGCGAGAAATCGCGAAGTATAATATATTTTTTTTTACGACGAGTCACGCGTTCAAAACTTGGTATAATTTTCTTCTCTCGGATGACATCACGTCGTTCTCAATAGAAAGAGTCTACATCGCGATAAAATAAGCATATACGAGCGAAATAAACAAGAGACACCGTTATAAACGTGATCGTGTTAGCGACGCGATTCTCAATGACTCACTTTGTCGGGCTTAAATAGCTGCCTCAGTTTTTATTGTGTATATGTGTGTGCGAACTATATCTCTCTCATGATCAACCTTAATGATGTCATTTTGTCTCTACGCGAAATTACCGGTTCGCATTGTGAATGCGAGCATCAACAAGTTCGAAGATAGAAATAAAAAGTAAGTTATTTGCGATAATAGATTTCTTGATGTATTTGTCGTTCTGGGTTTTTAAATTATATTTTATTACATATTTTGCTCCAATCAGTGAAATAGAATCAGTAAAAAATAAGCATTTGTTATCCCTTTGAATGAACACTACAGGTTTGTTCTTTATTGCTGCACTGATGAACTAGTGTACACCGGTGCAGTAAGTTAGAGTGAAACAAAATATATTTGTCTCACTTTAACTTATTGTATTAACTCATCAATGCAGCAATAAAGATAACAAATCCAAAATTTATTTGCACATTTAATATAAAGAAAAATGAAAATAAAACAAATAAACAAAAAAGTTAAATTTTTAAAAATTAAGAAAGGACAAAAATTAAAAAACAAACAAAAGTCATTACGGTTCCTGAGAAAATTCTGCGGACGCTCATAGAAGAATCAAATCTAAATCGTTTTATTCGTACTCGAATTTGGCGGCAAACTACCGCTCGATGCACATATATTTATCGTCGTTCGCGGCAACTTCAAGTGAATCGTGTCGCAATATGAACGACCGCCGTTCGTGATTACAGTACGAGAGATTTGAACGCCAAAAAACCGCGCTCCCGCTCCTTCGCGCTCGGAGAGATCGTCGAGTCACTCGTCGCGTGCGTTTAGTGACTTCAACGCTTAGTATTTTCATTACTCCATCAAATTGCGGTCGTCCGTTTCTGGGTCGCGTTTATCCGAATGTATAAGATGCTGAGTGTCGGGTTATCGAGTGTTAGATATCGGACGCTGCATGAATAATATAAGTAAGTATTGCATGCGGGAGAAAAGGAAAAATTGTCTAGAGAGATTTATATATAGCTTTACATAATTACAAAGAATTAATTTTGTATTTTGTCCAATAATTTTTTCTAGAATTAAATAAAATAATTGACATAAAGAGAGATGAGAGAGAGAGAGAGAGAAAAAATAGAAAACGATCGATATTTAACAAAACATATTTTTATTCCTTGTAAAGAAATAAACTCGATCGCATTTTTATAATAATGTGAGGTTAGACAATAAAAGAAAGACAACTTTCAGATAAAGATAAATATTTATCGCTGACAGCGGTACCAACATGATTTATGCAACTCGCAAATTCGAGTAAGTTTCTCAAGATGGTAATACTGTGTACCGTTAGTCTGGAATTTCGGGACTTGTAGTTACGTGGTGATATATGTGCGGACGCGTATATTTATATATAATTTACGTTTTTCCGTATAATATATACTAGACTCCTCGCTACAGAACTATTTCGCGCGTGTCGTAAAAAGTTTTCGAGTTAAGTGCAACAGCTCAGTTCGTGAGAATTTTAATATATACAAATTAGAAATTTTTTATACGCGAGTACGCAGATAAAAAAATGTGGCGGAATAAATTCATTTATTCATAATTAATATATATATGACATATGTCAAATTGTGTGAATTAGCGTTTAAATTAGAAATTTTTCTCTCCTCGCTACGCGTACGCGATATGATAATCGTAATATCGACGTTGAATATATATTTATACATATACACTGACAACGAGTGATAGTGTAAATAGTGTAAATACGGCGCACAATAGTGTAGTATCGCCGATAATAGGGCGCGCGAGAGCGCGGACGTCGGCGGCGCGGCCGACGAGCCGAGCGCGGCCGAGGACGGCCGAGTTCGCGCGAGCGCGAGCTCCTGAGCGGAGTGAACATTTGAACATAGACGCGCTCGACAGTACGCGGACAGTGTGGTGAGCGAGCGTTGTGTCTCGTCGGGGATTCACGGGTTTCGTTGACTCTCTTTCGCCCTCGAGCTGTCAAGCCGGAGCGGCCTACTCTCACGGCTGTGAAAGCGGTGCTTCGCGAGTGAACGCCCCTGTAAGCACTCGAATATATAACCTAACCTCTTCGCGTATCTTATTTGTCTTGTTCTCTTTCGAGCCTGTCTCTCATTCTTTTTCTCTCCTTCTTGCGCGTTTGCCGACATAACCTTTCTCTTTCTCGTATATTGTCTCTCTATATCTCTGCCGCGCTTTCGGTCCGCGTGCACGTACGTCTCTTTCTCTCGACACGACACGCTCGATAATAGTCCACGCGACGTAGACGACGTCTGTGACGTTCGTCGCGACACTGACGTTTTTGCTTTCAATCGCCCGCGTCGCGTGTGCGCCACCAGTTGCGTGTTGCATAATCACCGTTTTACGACAACCCGTCTCGTGGGTGCATCGGCCCTGCTCCCCTCTTCTTCTCTTTGATCGCCATCCAAAGAGTTTGGTGCTACCCGGTCCTTGGAATCTGACGTTTCGAGTGCACGACTTCAAGGGTGAGTCTCTTGCTTGTTTTGTTTTGCTCTTTATTTTTCTCGTCGACACGCGCGCATGTCGCATTCAGTGTCAATTTTGTGTATATGGTCGTTTGTTCTTTTATATTCTGGAAAAATATATGGAAAATGGATATGCGTAGTTTGTGTCTGTTATTGATATTATTTCTGTATACGCATAGAAGTGAAAATGTTCGCTTGTTTACAAGCAGGTAAAGTGTTAAGTAAATAACAGACGAAATGAATACGAAATGAATTTATATGAATGTGTAATTAATTTAAAAAAGTAAGTAATTTATATGAATGTGATGAAATGAATTTATATGAATGTGTAAGTTGACACGATTTTAAACAATGAAACTTTGATCATAAAATAATATCACCTGTCATTTTTGAATCTTTTTTATAAAGATTTTATATTTTTTAAAAATAGATACATATTTATAAACGTATATATGTATCTATTTTTTATTTTACACATTATATGTTATATGTGTTCTTTCTAAAAGATAAAATAGGTATGCGATCGGTATAAAGTATAAAAGATATATGAACAAAACAAGAACTTGCTTATTTAAATCGAATCATTGAAAATGATTTAATATGCATGCATACATATTAATTATTGTAATTTTATAGTGAGACGCTTTTTTTTAATTATGTGATAACGCGTTTTCGCGGCATTTAAGAGACTATGAATAATACACAGGCTCGTTAGCACATTTAAAAACATGCAGCAGTAATCAATAATGTCGAAATTGAGTTAGTGTTGGAAAAGTAATGACATGGTTTATGGGAAGAAAGAACTGCTATTATTACAAACCGTGTTTTTATTGACGAGGAGTCACTTATGGATTTGATTTCGCAGAAAGTATAATGAGTGAATGTCTCTGAAACGGATTTAAGATATCAGAACATTCGTTTTATATTTCTGCAAGAAAAAAATGACAAAAAAATTTTAATCGAGTCAGTCTATATTAAAAATTAATTATATATATTTTATAAATTAAACTTCGGCTCGTATACAATTAAAATATGTGATATAATAAAAGGCCAACTTAACGAGCTTATATGCTATTAATTGAAAAATTTATTTATTAATTTACGTCATACTATACAAAAGTTAAGATAAACGTTTCGACTGTACGACAGTCTTTTTCAATATCCTAATAATATGTTAAAAAATTAATTTAGTCATATCGACCTTATTATAAATACAACAATTATGAGATTATATGACGAACGCAGTACAAAATTCATGTTTGTTGGCATGAGTTACATAATATAACAGCATCTGACGCTCTAACTCATGCCAACAAACATGAATTTTGTACTGCGTTCGTCATATAATCTCATAATTGTTGTATTTATAATAAGGTCGATATGACTAAATTAATTTTTTAACATATTATTAGGATATTGAAAAAGACTGTCGTACAGTCGAAACGTTTATCTTAACTTTTGTATAGTATGACGTAAATTAATAAATAAATTTTTCAATTAATAGCATATAAGCTCGTTAAGTTGGCCTTTTATTATATCACATATTAAAAATTAATTACTAAATAAATTAATTACTATTTTTTTTTAAATATAGAAAACGTGAAATAATTAGCATAAATCTATTTTTGATTTAGATTTCTCAGTCTTTTCATTGATTAAATCTAGAAGATAAATAATCATTTTTTTAAATATCTTTATAAAATTTATAAAAGTTAAATTATAAAATCTATATATACATTTTTATAATCTAACAATTATATATTTAACTTATATATTTAAAATGCTGAAGAAAAATACTTAAGAACTTGTACATTTTTATTTCTTGAAATTGAAATATATTAGTATATGTATTTAATGATCTTTAGCTCATATATAGAAATTTAGAGAGGAAAATATATCTAGCCTTAATTCACAAGAATTGCACGTTGAATTTATGACACAAACATCATTTGAAACTCTGATCGTCGCGAAATTAATTCATCGATGCGATTTAAAATTCAAAATTATATTTTATGATGCATTATGCAGTTGTGCAAAGACGATCGAATTGAGAAAAATATGTCGCGCCATCTCGATCGCACTTCATTGCGCAAAGGTCGCGTTTCCGATATTTTACTTGCGAAATGCTCTTCCCATAATCATAAAACATGCGTATGCTCAGCTCAAGATGAAGCAAGAAAGTCGCAACGCGTACAAATAATGAAATCAATAATTAGAAACAAACTACATCATTATATCGCCAATTTACAAGATTCGCATAAATAATCAAAGTTTCCAAATATAGGCAACACGTATAAGAGTATGAGAGTGAGCGTACGGGATTTTTTTGTAGCAGTAATAATCGGAAATTTTAATAGAAATAAAACATGAAATAATTAGAATAAATCTGTATTTTTGACAAATTTCTCAGTCTTTTCACTGATCAAATCTAAAAGATAAATAATCATTTTTTAAAATATCTTTATAAAATTTATAAAAGTTAAATTGTAAAAGCTATATAAAATTGCTACTTAACTTTTTATATGTGCTGCATTTCTCTTAGTTCATATGTGCCACTTTTGATATTCGCGGCAATTTTGCAAATATATAATTTTCGTCATCTCTTTTATTATACATGCGTTCGGAGAACTTTCCGAAGATAGTGTACGTGTCGACGTGCACAATAGTGAACATAGCCAGTCGCCGTGTCGTGACTGCAGTGGCACTTGCATATGCAGTACGTTCGTCGACATGAAATTATCCAGTGGCCATCCTTTCGCTCCGTCCCTTCGTCCTTTTTTCTTCCCTTCCTCTCCGGAACCTTAAGAAGGCAACAAAAGGAAAACTCTTCATTACCCTCGTCCGGTCTTCTTACAAATCTTCCTTGCGTCGTGGAATTCTAATTTTTTTTATTACTTTCAATGTCATCGAAAATTAAATTGAATTTTATACGATACTGATGTGAATCTTTTTATGTTTCAAATCTCATTATTTAAGAGATAATTTATATCTCGAAAAATATATGTGAGATATAAGAGAGAAAGAGAGAGAGAGAAATATAAGAGAGTTCTATTTTATATTTCTATCAAATTTATATGATAAAATCATATAAAATTGTTAATATTAAATATGCAAAGTAGAACTTTTATTTTCTCTTTATATACATATATAAAAAAATTCAATTTTAATTCTCAAATTGAAACGATTTAAATATTATCGAATTCACAAACTCGTTCTCATTCGTGAAATCGTCTTCTGAAAATCTAAAAAAAAAAAAAAAAATGAAAAAAGATAAGTATCCTAATCGCAATAATCAGCGACGATTTGTTGCCCTGTTGGAAACCGGAAGGAAGGGCATCGGACAGCGGAGCACAAGTATTTAACCTTGCCGCGACTTTCGAACTTCTGATCGAACGGGGTTCAAGGGAAAGGGTTATTAAAAGGCTTTTCCTCCTCCCCTGCCTCCCGAGTAGTCATTAAAGGCGGAATCGAATTGACCTACTGCATGTCGGTTCGTAGTATACGTACATGCCTGCATCTCTATGGCAGCATCTCATGCTGCGAACGAATTTATTATAATCATTCGGCCGGAATATCGCAAACGCGTGCGTGATGATTCAACCCTGTCGAGGTGGTTTTTTTCGCTATGCGAAATTTATGAACAGATATATGCTTGATCAACTATGCTTCTCTTATATATAAGAAAGCGCATCTTGATTAGAGGATTCGTATATAATATTTTGTAAGATATTTTAATTTATTAAATTTACGTTATGTATCTGACAATTACATGACAGTTACGAATCTCATATTGTTGAAAAAAGAGAGAAATTATATTAATTTTCTCATTCTATAAATTATTCAATAAATCAAATTTATATATAAAACTTTTCATTATAAGAATTGAAAAAAGAAACATAATATAGTTTATTTTCGAAAATTTTATTATACAAAAAGTAAATTAATTAATAGTTACATAACTATAAAATATTCTTAAAAAATTTTTTAAAGTATCAAATCAGTCTTATTTAAGACAGAAGATAGTATCGGTTAAATAGTTTTTAAAATCGAAAAAAAATTGGTATGCTGCTTTAATTTGCTTAATTTTTTGATCAATAACTACACCCTTATCCCATAGATGCACGTATGGCTAGTACTAAGGTAAAATCATCGGACGAACGAATGATGGGTAAAGAGAGGGTAGGGCCTGGAAAGGCTGCCGTATGGAATGATAAACATAGCTTTTGCGTGTACTTAAAACGCATGTGCGTGCATATCTGGCTGTGTGCGAAGAAGGTGGATGGTAGGTAGAAACGATAGAGCGCGAGAAAACCGAAGGGAAAAAGGTAGAAACGAAAGGGCGGCATGCATGATGGGATAAGTGCACGTCTCTGACAAAACGCCGGGGTCCGTTTACGCACACGCACGATCGACAGTCGTATTTATTAAGCATTTTTAGCGAGCGCCTCGTGGCTCGATTCGCGCGCGCAACATTGTAGAACCGACAATTTCCGCGCCGGCCGATTATATTCGCGCATCTTGGATTTCCGACAGTATTGAGCAGCGCATTCGTGGGAATCGCGATCAATCGGCACTCTTTGCCGCGAACCTGTTGCATCGCATTACGTTCGCCTCTGAACTCGGAGCAGTTGAGATAAACTACACTATTTCACCACACAGCATTCGATACAGACCTTCACGTCTCTGGATTTCTTTCATAATTTTAGTAAATTTTTTTTTTAATTTATTATTTTTCTAATATATCGTTTACATAGTTGTTTTAAGAAAATTGAGATACATTTGTGATATTTTAAATAATTGTAATTTTAGTGTGAAAAGTTTCATTTGGATTTTTAATACAAGAATCTTTTTTCTAAGTTACAAATGTATGTGTGACATTAAGCTTTACGACTTTACAGCACATCGAAATTAATAGCGAGTCGTAAATTTTCATCACTGTGTGCAATATTTTTTGACTAAGCAAAAGTTCAATTAAAAATATGAATATCAAACCAATTTAC